GCTGAGTCATTTGGCTATCCACATTGCATTATGGGAGATGTAGTCCTCCAGGGAGATCAGCTCAGGAGAGAATGGGGGCTTGAATTACAACTCCCATCCAGCAGCTAGCTGATAGAGAAATGCATTTTAATATTTTGTTGAACTGATTCAAAACAAAACATTTAAGATCAGTTAAAAAAAACACCCCCAAAATATTCCCATGTGGATCAAACTGACCTGAAATGAAATACTTAATTTCAATTTACTCTGACAGAAAATCAAGTTTTCAGCAAAATAAAAATTTTTATTTTGTGGAAATGGCATTTTCTGCCGGGAAATCATTCCAATGGAAAATTTCTGTCCAGTTTTTCTATTCATATGTCACCCAGGCATGGCACTTTACGTGTAAGTAAATAACACAAGGTGCTGCCCCTTTAAATCAGCAATCAAATTAGACCTAGCAACATAAGAAGGGAAGATGAATGAAAGCTGGGGCTAGGGGGAAGGACAGGGGTGCTGCCTGTAGAAGGGTTTTATAGTTTGTGTAGTGTGCAGTGTGCTAAGTGCATGTTGAGATGCTATGCTTGGTTACTTTCATACTGTACTTGGTGAGTTCATCCCTGCTTAGTCTGTAATTTATGTTTTAAGTTATTTATATAGTAGTTCTGAAGGGGCAAAGGTGGGGCAGAGCTGAATTGGGTTGCGCTGGCTGGAAATGAGTGATTACCTTTTTATTATTTGTATTAGGCCCCAGTCATGGACCTGGACCCCATTTGTAGCAACCTGCATGGGACTTGGAGGGTGGAGCACAGGCTGCAGGGGGAAGAATTTGGAGGTGGCACTGGGAAGTCAGTCTTTGTGCATGTGGCTGGAACGCCAGCTCCAGCTGGAGCACCTGTGTTAACAGTTCACTTAATAAAGAGCCAGCTAAGTTGTAGTGAAACATGGAGTCCTCATGGTTATTCAGCACTTGGTACATGAAACACCATTGTGTTAGGCGCTGTAAAAACAAAGATCTCTGCCCCAAAGAGCTACCAATCTAAGAATAAGACAAGAGACAATGGCTGGATGCAAACAGACAGACGGGAAAGACAAGGAAACAATGAGACAGTATTGTGATTGAGTTGATATTGTCATTGTTGGTCTCAGTCCAGTTCCATCATCTCCTTATACAGGTCAAACCTGGGGTGTACTGTGGGGAGAACCTTGCACGGGTTCTGCCTGGGCTGGACCTGTGCATATGAGTAACGCGTTTACTGGAGGTGGGCAGTAGCATGAGGAGGAGGAGAAGGGAAGGGGGTGCAGGAGCATGGGGTATGAGGCAGTGGCATGGGGAGAGGATGAAAGGGCAGTGGAACAGTAGGTGGGGGAAGAGTGACAATGTGGAACAGCAGGAGTGGGCAGGGAGGGTGAAGGGGGCGGACTTCCAGCCTGGGAGGGTGGTGGAGGGGAGCATGGGAAGAAAGGTAAGCTGTGCAGTGGGGACTTGAGGGTGCAAGTGCCGATGCATTGCTTGCTGTAGGGGACCAGCTAGGAGGCAGGAAAGTCCCGACCTCAGTGACAGACTTTAACTGAGTCTCCAGAGGTGGCTGATTTAACTGTCAGTGTTAAAGCCAAGGGGAGCAAAGCTAAAAGCAGAGGGAGAGGACCCATGCCTTGGCTTGAAGGCTGCAGCTCCCCCAGGGCTTCCCTGCTGGCTCCCTTCTGGCTGGTGATGCATAGACTCTCCCAGAAGGGGAATCTGAGGTAGGAAGCTGTAGAGGAGAGGGGAGAACAGATGGTGAGACACCCACCCAGAAAGCTCAGTGGAGAAAGATCTCAGGGACAAGAGAATGACCCTCTGAGCTCCTTCCTCCCTCCTGGCTGTGGCGTATTGAAAACTGTGTTTAAAATGATAAACTTATCACTTAAATTCTCAGGAGTTCCTGCTCCTGCTTGCAGGCTATGGCGCTCTGTAGGATATATTCAGTCTGGGTCTTTCAGCAGGCAGTCTGCAAAGAGCCAGCCTATGGCAAGCTGGGGTGAATTGTGTGTCTGCCTTAGGGAGCAGCCTGTTTTGTGTCTCTGTGCTTTTAGTTCTTGTGTGTTAAGATCCTGGATTTTAAGAAATAAAATAGTGTTACATTGCAGCCTTCCCAAAAGGAGTATTCTATGTTTTAATCTAACTCCTCTGTTTGCTTGCCCTGAAGATATCACACATGGTATGGGGTGGTGGTGGTGGTGGTGGTGAGATAGGGCCTGATGGGTAAGGATGGAAAGAAGAATGGAGGGAGGAAGGCAAGAGCAGAGATGTAGGTGGGGCTTATTTACAGGGAAAACTGAAAAACAAAGGGGAGAAGAGGCATTCAGAAAGGAAGGGAACAACCTGGAGAGACACAGGGAAAGGAAGAAGAGAGAACTTGGGAGAGACAGCAAGGGAAGCTTGATGCTACAGTACTGCACTCCCTTGGCTGTCCAGTCTCTGTACAAGGTGGCATGGCTGCATAGGAAGAAGGCTATTGTGAGAGTTGGCTTTAGAAAAGAGACTCCCCTAGAAGCCCGGTATCCTTTGTGTAAGGAGACAGGAGATCATGCTCTGGGGTTGAATGGTGGGGCTGGTTATAAGGGGCTGACACAAGGAATGCTGGGAAGACACTGCTTTAATTGCTGTCAAGGACAGTAGCACTGGCTACTCTTGTGGGACTCCAGGCCTGGTGGCCCTGGGGCACATCGGCAGATATTGTAATAGAATGTGACTTCGCCTGTCAAGCTTCAGTGAAATACAGCTCCTTGGGGCAGGGCTAGTGTTCCTGGCGTGTCTGTACAGTGCCTAGCACAACACTGCCCCAGAGTGCTGGGGAACATTAGGAGCAGTTTCACTTTTTTGCACAGTATTTTATGAGCTCTCCTGAAGTCTCCCAAAGTTCAGGGAAGCTTGGGGGGTACTCCAGACACCTCCGGGGAGGCCCCAGACCTTCAGCCTTTGTTGCTGTTTTTGCATTGGTGTGGATTCTCCTTCCCAGCTGAGGCTAAATACTGGTGCTGCAAGGAAGAGGCAAGAGGAGCACCAGGTGCCAGCCACGGTGCCAGCCATGGTGGTGGGAAAAGTGCCTCGATCCAGGCACAGAAGGTGGTTTGGGAGCTAGGCTTCCAGGGAGCTGCCAGGCCAGGACTTGGGGTGTTGAGGTGGGGAGGCAGGAACCCCAGAGTCCCATGACAGCAGCAGCTGGGGGACTGGTAGACGCCTGTGAGTGATGTTTCTTTTCTTGTCCCCAGTCTCATCGGCACAGTGTATTGTGTCGCCATCAGACGACACACTGCCACGTTGCCCCAGGCTTGGGAGCCACCAGCAGTAGGGAGTGCCCCATCCTCGGATGATCAGTTTGGGGGGAGGATTGTGTGTGCACTCCTTGCCACAGAGGGCTGTGTGGGGCTGTGCACACCTGCCCATACGCTGCCTAACGTTCCTAGATCATTTACAAAGCAGTATCAAGCCGCTGTGGCTGTTTAGCAGGCCAGATACTGTCCTCCTCTCGCAGAAATCTCTTCATGGTAACCATGGGATTTCACCTGTGGTGCTGATTTTTTAAACAAACAAACAAACAGCCTTGCGGGGAGTCTGTTCCCTTTGCAAGTTGGTTCAGAAGAGCTGCCCTGTTCCGTCCCTGCCCTGGAGACTGGTAACAGCTGTCTGATTTTTAGCCAGCACTCAGCTGCGTTCAAGTTGGTGCGCTCTGACACGCACTGCAATGGAGCTTTGTATGTGTGCGCTCTCTCTTGGATTCCTTGATATTTCCCCTCCCCTTGCCCCTATGCCAGCTTTTCATTTGTTTGGCAGCTGCTCAGACCTGGGTGCCCCCACCTTGTGAGGCACAGCATGGGCAGTGGTGCAGACTGGGATGGGGGCCTGTGCTAGCTGAGGATGCCATTGGTTTGGGAGTTGGCCTCAGAGGGCCCGATGTGGTGATTCATGCTGCACAGTCTGCAGGAACAAAGTCTGGCACTGAGCAGTGCCAAGGGCTTCACACGTGGCTGGGGGTGGGGGTAGGGGAGAATTGGGCACACTTTGAAACAAAACACATCTGTGTAAACAAGGTGGGGTAGGGGGAGGGAGTTAAAGGCACAGAATGAGATGGTGAGAGGGAGGCAAATGAAGGAAGAAAGAAAGAGCAAGTTAGACAGAGGATGCCAGAGAGTGGGGACAAAAAAGCAGAGAGAAGAAAAAGCAGGGAGAGAAAGGGGAAGCTGCATCCAGTGCCGGCTGAGCAGACCAGGAGTGAGTGCAATTCTTTCTAGAGAACACTGGAGGGAGTTTAGGAATCAGGAGAAGACTGGACATTCAATTGGTGGAGCTGTTTCATTTTGTTAAATACAGGATCCATTTGGCTCCTACTCACTGCCTGCTTGATCCAGCTGCCATTCATCTGGGGCAGAGAGGGAGCGACTTAGGGCTGGTCTGCACAGAAGTTGTACTGACTGTACTAAAAAGGGTTTTCAATCGATTGAGCTAAATCACTGCAAGTCCCTTGCGTGGATGCTTCTTAAATGGGTTTGGGCGGCTAAGGTCAATTTAGTAACAAGCCAGTCTAGTTAGATTGGAGCTGCGTGCGCGTGTGTGCAGAGACGGGGCCTCAGAAAGAGTGTCTCCTGGGAAACAGAAGGAGTAAGTGTCAGAAAGAGAGGTGAATCAAGGAGAGTGAGAGAAGGCACAACAGAAAATCTCTTTGCCAGACCCAGAGGATAGGGTAAAGGGGGAGAGATCAGGAGCTCGGGTTAGGGCTGAATGGAAAGGAGTTGTCAGTCTCTGTCCTCGCAGTTCTCCTCATTCACTGACCAGACACACAAATTGCTCCTTTGGAATCTTTTATTAACGTAATAGAAAATGCATTTAAAAAAAGGAACTATACATAGGCTAAGAGCAGTCAGGACTAAAAATACTAGTTAAGAATGGCCAACAAGCGTTGGGAGGGCAGTTAAGTTTTCTCTCCCCGCTTCAGTTGTGTAGATTTAGTTCAGTTCGTGTGGGGGAGCTTTCTGCCTCCTTTCTTCCTTTTTTAAATAATAAACACAATTCCAGAGTAATGTATGTACAAAGGCGGTGGGGGCCGGGTTTTTTTTTTTTGTTTGTTTGTTTTTTGCCACCCCCTGAAAAAGTGCCAGCGGCCGAAGTCTGGAGGGTTCAGAGTTTGTCTCCCCAGGTGGAGAGTGAGGAGGGTCTGTTCCTGTGGATTCTCACTGAAAGATGCTGGCCCCCTCCCCTTTCTTTGAAACAGCAGTGCCATAGCCATATTCCATAGCACGGTGTAGCAGATTATGTGGAGTTAAAGGGTACCAAAATTCCATCAAGCGCTTATCTAGTTCCTAGGCAGGACAAGAAGTAAGCGCTGTCAGGCAGGCCCATAATAAACTGGGGGAAATGTTTATTACAGTACCGACCCATGGCATCTGCCTTATTTGTAGGAACATAGAGATCATGCTGGGCAGCTGGGGGAATTTCCCGGGGTGCTGCCTTCAGCTGGGAAAGGAGACCATCCTGGTGTGTGGAATGTGATCCTCTCTCTCTTGCAGAGAATCAATGCCTCTGAGCAAATTTCCTAGGGGGACCGGGGAAGGGGATCTGAACAGATGAGCACTTTTTTGGCAGTGTCCGGAGTCAGTTACTGACATATTGCACTACACTTAGGCTGGTGAGCTTGTTTGCTTGTATTAATATGTGTATATATGTATATCTTCATGTATAGCGTAAATACACGCCCAGGAAAATGTATTAAGCAGTGAGGCCAATAGACCTGCCCCCATCCTCCTGCTGCTGTCCCATGCACCTTTAGTGCGCTAGAAAATTGTCAGGAGGGAGGGGGTGAAGACTGAACCAAACCTTGACTTTACCTGACCTATAGGAAGGAAGGATGAGGCAAGAGGGGAAGGACAAGAGCTCCCACTGGGATTTAATAAATTGCACTTCTCCTATCTCCCCACAGGGGCCACTCATACTCTGTGCTTTGCTCACCTGAGCTAGCCTTGTTTCTCTAGCCTCAGGGGCTATATAACTGGTTTGTTGGCATTGTTATTTTCTGGCTGGTATTTGTCACTGCTAATTGTTCCATGACAGGGTGAGAGGAAGTGAACCTGAGATGCCAAAGGAAATGACAAAAACATTCCTTCCTCGTGTGTCTCCACGGATAGCTCGAGAAGATGGCCTCACCCTTCGGTGAGCTCAGTTGCAGTTTCTGCTCCTTGATATTTTAATTCCCAGTCGTCTGGACCTGATGCACACCTTAGCAACCAGCGTTTCAGTCCTGGTACTGCTGTTGTGAAGATGTGACATCTGAGCCATCAATAGGGAACCAAGGACTGATAGACGTCACTCATTTGGCTATGTGCATTGAGGGGTATCTTGACCTATGACCTGTACAGTATGTTCCACAGGCTGCCCTGTAGTGTGGCATTTACCCACGCAGGGCTGTGGACACCTTCAGAGGAAAAGACCTCTTTAGACATGGACTTCCCAGATTGGTGAAGGTCGGATTTATCACATAAATACCTGGTGATATAAAGCCAGTACAAACCAGACCTGCTAGGCCATGCCCTCAGCTGTTGTTACACTGCCTAGTTCCAGAGAAGTTGGAGATGTGCCAGTTTCCAGTAGGTGAGGATCTGGCTCCTTGTGTGACCTTCAGCAAGTCACTTCAGCCGCCTCATCCCCCACCCACCCCTTGTCTCCTGGGACTCAGTTCTCTCTGCTCTGAATTGGGGACAAATAATGCTGGAGGGAGAAGGCTTAGTTCATTTATGTTTGTGATGTGATTTGAGACCCTCAGGGTATTGCTGTTATAAACTGGCACGAAGGCAAAGGTTTCTTGAAACTCCTTGGGTAGCAATTAACTCTGACAAACTCTCAGAGCTCATCCTATGAATATTTTCTTGCCTGCGGGAGAGGACTGGGCCTCGTTTTATCACCGGATTCCTCACGTTTATGTGCTTTTAGCAAAGCCAGGAAAGGCAGCTCTCCCTTCACTAGCTCCTGATTTTTTCAGGCACTTCTTAAACCACTGCAGAATGAATAACAGAGTGAGGGTGGGTGAACTGGCTGAGATGAAATAGGAATGGAGCTGAGCTTTCCCTTAAAGCTGACCCAAACCCAAACAGAACCTTTGTAAGAAAAAGTCCCCTCACAGCCCCATGTGTTTAATATTCAGGCCTCTCTGCAATTGCAGATGGGACCAGAAGCAGAAATGCTGAAATACCCCCAGGCAAGTTCTTGAACCGTTGGGGCCCCGATCATGGTTGTGGCCTTTAGGCATGACGCACATAGGAATAATATAATTTCTGGCCTGGTTAGGAGCAGGATGCCCCAAGACAGCCTGTTCTCAAGAGATTTCCAGCTTGATTTTTGCTGGCTCGTGGTTTGGGGAAACATCTGGCCTTCAAAGCACTCTTAGCCAAACCTAACCCAGTCCTTATGGAGGTTCATCCACGACCAGAAAAGATACAGCTGCTAAGCTCTACTTCCACTTCTTCAGTCACTAAAGCAGCCAGAGCAAAGGAAGTCTATCCCCTCAGAAAGCCTTTCCGCTCTCTCCTCATATCCTTGCTAGCACTACTGAACAGGGCTCATTGTCTAACAGCTGCCAGGTACTTTGTTGTAAGTACAGGCATCTCTTCCACAATGAGAGAGTTCAGTGAGAGTTTAGCCTTCTTCTCAAGGGCAGGAGGGACTCTAGTGCCCTGGCTTAAAGGAACGTGTTATACAAAGAACATTTCCTCCCTATCTTACTTATAGCACCTTGTCATAAATATAAAGGGAAGGGTAAACCCCTTTAAAATCCCTCCTGGCCAGAGGAAAACTCCTCTCACCTGTAAAGGGTTAAGAAGCTAAAGGTAACCTCGCTGGCACCTGACCAAAATGACCAATGAGGAGACAAGATACTTTCAAAAGCTGGGAGAAGGGAGAGAAACAAAGGGTCTGTCTGTCTGTCTATATGCTGTTTTTGTCGGGGATAGACCAGGAATGGAGTCTTAGAACTTTTAGTAAGTAATCTAGCTAGGCATGTGTTAGATTATGATTTCTTTAAATGGCTGAGAAAAGAATTGTGCTGAATAGAATAACTATTTCTGTCTGTGTATCTTTTTTGTAACTTAAGGTTTTGCCTAGAGGGATTCTCTATGTTTTGAATCTAATTACCCTGTAAGGTATCTACCATCCTGATTTTACAGAGAGGATTTCTTTACTTCTATTTACTCCTATTTCTATTAAAAGTCTTCTTGTAAGAAAACTGAATGCTTTTTCATTGTTCTCAGATCCAAGGGTTTGGGTCTGTGGTCACCTATGCAAATTGGTGAGGCTTTTTATCCAACATTTCCCAGGAAAGGGCGGGTGCAAGTGTTGGGAGGATTGTTCATTGTTCTTAAGATCTAAGGGTCTGGGTCTGTAGTCACCTAGGCAAATTGGTGAGGCTTTTTACCAAACCTTGTCCAGGAAGTGGGGTGCAAGGTTTTGGGAAGTATTTGGGGGGAAAGACGTTTCCAAACAGCTCTTCCCCAGTAACCAGTATTTGTTTGGTGGTGGTAGCGGCCAATCCAAGGACAAAGGGTAGAATATTTTGTACCTTGGGGAAGTTTTGACCTAAGCTGGTAAAGATAAGCTTAGGAGGTTTTCATGCAGGTCCCCACATCTGTACCCTAGCGTTCAGAGTGGGGGAGGAACCTTGACACACCTCGGGAAAGAATATTAAAATCCTGCCACGCAAGGGACTTCTGCTCCCATTCGAGTCAATAGCCATAGGGCATGCTCAGCCCTTTCCAGGGCAAACCCCAAATTCCCTTCTCACTACTGATGCTGAGAGTTTTTCTTTTGCACATCACTCAGTCTGGACCATTACTTCAAATTCATTTCAAATCAAATCCTGAGTCTGATCTTGCAAGCCCTGTGTGTGGAACACCTCTTCTTGACTTCATGGAGGCCTCTGGCTCTTTGTGAGTTAAAGGCTTGAGCCAGAGCTCACTGAAATCAGTGAGTCTTTTTGTTGACTTCGGTGGGGGGGAACCAGGCCTAGAGAGAGGTCCAGCCTAGAGCTCAGTGATCTCCTCAGGACGAGAGCTGGATAAATAGGGAGACAATAAGCCATGACCATCTCAGCAACTTCTGTATAGAATTTACCTTCAGTTGAGTTTGCTCCCTCTTGTATTAGTTTCTTATGAATGCTTGTAGGAGTCAAGTTTTGTTTCATGTGCATTTTCAAGCCAAGATTAGTTCAGTTACAAAGCAGAACTAATTGGGTGAGAAAACCACATTTGTTTTGGCCAGAAAAGTAGTTTATATAAAAGGTCATCCAATGAGGGAGCAAGAAAAGAGGCCATGTTTAATCGGGTGGCTAATCCCATAGCACCAGTGCCAAACACAATTTGCACATAACCACTAGCTAAACCTTTAATTGCAGCCTGTTCACGGGCAAGTCTTCATGAAGAAAAATGGCCAGATTTTGCCAGATATTCATTGTTGATTGGTTGCCTTGGTGTTCCCAGGATACCCCCAAGGCACCAGAAATGTAACATTATAGGCACCTCTCCTTTGAGGGGTCTAATAGTCTCAGAGACTGAGGGTGATGGGGGGCGGGGGCAGCAGCAGTGGTCCTGAGGGAAGGTGGTCTCTGATTAGCATGAAGGCCAGCTCTGGGAATCTACACAGGTAGACAGCATGTAGAGTGGCTGAGATGGTGAAGAAGAGGAAGGAAGAAGCAAAGCTTCCTCAGCAACTTACTCCAGGTGGGAGCTCTTGCTGAGCCTCTCGGCTACAAGGGAAGTGGGAGGATGGAGAGAAGGGAATTTCCACCAAGCGCCAGAGAAATAAAACCAGGTTCAACTCAGAGTAGGCAAGAGGTAGTTTGAAAAACTTTAGCTTGTGCCATGTATGGATAAAATGAGGCACAATCCCTACTCAAGGGGCTCAGTGCTCAGCCTGCCCTGGCTACCCCTTACTGCCCATTCCTTTTCATGTCGGTGTTGATTGCCAAAACCTCGTGCCATGATGCAGCATTGGTAACCTCATGTTAAGTCTTTGGTGTGACTTGTCGTGGGATACGCTAGGGTCAGAAGATAGACTGAAAATTGCCCTTCATCCTGCAGTGTGTTCTGCTGGTCAGATAATGGAGTCCTATTGTTAGGACCCTCCCATCCCAACTAGGAGGCAGCTATGAAGGGGTGTGTGGTGGGGAAGTATATTGAGAGAATAATGATCCTTTCCTGGAGAAATGATACCTACAGTAACACTAGGCTGAAAGAAAGATCAATCTGAGTTTCTGTGAAGGGATGGGGATAAGATCGGCTGTGGTTGTGATTTAGAATAGTGGGTTTTTTTGGTTGTTTTCTTTCCCTCTGCTGGATCACTAGTGCTGAGCAGCAGCATTTCCAGCAAGGTTTCTTGCTTCCACCTGAATGGACAGTGGAGACAATGAAAGCCCGATCAAGCCAAGTGACTTGTCCAACTTGAAGTCACCCCGAGAGCCACTGCCTCAGGTGGGAATTGAAGCCAGGGCACTCTCAGTTGCTGCACTTAGTTCTAACTGTTAAACCACCCAGCCTTGTCATTTCTTGTTTGTGGCTGCCAGTGGGTGGGGGCAGTTTTCATACAAATAATTGCTAAGGATTTCCCTAAACTTCCATCAGCCCTATCTGCTGCTTCTCATTGGCTTTTGGAATTCCACAGTGATACGCTAAGGACAGAAGAGATTTTTCTACCTCTCATGAGAGTCTCATCCCATCCTACTCCCCCTGCCCAGGTCTAGTTCTTCATTGAGGCCTTCTTGTTCCTTCTTGATCTCCCTAGACCTCCTCTGGTTTATGGTGATTTACTCACGGCCTTGTACAAAGCCCACTAAAATCCACAGGAGACTGTGCTGGCTTCAGTGGGCTGCGTATCCATCTCTACATCCAACACATGTGCAGAACTACCCCTAGCTGAGCACCACCCTCTCACCCATTCATGTGCTCAACGGGCAGGAAACCCCCTGGGTTCAGGACTGAAAGCAAGACTTAGTGCCCTTATAATGCTGGGCCATACCAGTGCCACATCACTGGAAGAGGCAACTGAGTGTCTGAAGGATGGGGAAGATGCAGCACTGTTCCATCAGACTAGACTAGCAACAGACGGGGGTCTTTCCCCTTGACCTTACAGCCAGGGCGTTGAGGGTTGTACCTAATCCTGAACCCAGGGTTATTTAGGTTTTTATGTCCCAATGCATGGCACGGGGGAGGGGGAGACTACATTTCCTGATTAGTCTCCTGTTGCTCCACTGGACACGGGCTGGATGGGAGTTAGTCACACTCCTTGAATCTGTTTAAAGAGACTCTGTCCTGAATTCTCTGTTCCATTCAGGCCCCTTTACATGCTCTCTGAAAGTGGCTGTAAACTGCAATTTAGTGCAAAGTGGCCTTGGTGTAAACGAGACTCAGGCCCACTATCAAATAGCGATAGTCCCCGGTAACCTTTCCTCTACAGTACGGTGAACTCACACATAACTGCCTTGTGCTAGTGCATGGGACACAGCAGGGGAAAGCGCCTGGTCTGTTCTCATTGGCCAAACTGATTAAAGTGCAAAACATAAGCAGCATCAACGTTAAGGAGTAAATTCAGTATTTGAAAATCACTTTTAATAATTAAAGGTGTTGTTAGTAACAACAGGCAGGGATGGGATAGAGCTTTAAAATACCAGGTTTTAACCAGGGCGGTGTCTCTTTATAAGGAGGGAAAACATGATGTTTGGAACATATATGGGGCCTTTCGTCCAAGGATCTGAAAGTGCTTTACAAATATCAATGAATTAAGCCTCGCAACAACACTGTGAGGGAGGGAAGAGTTCAGTTCCCCGTGGAGAGCTGGTGGAAACAGCTCACAGAGTCGGTGTGACTCACCCAGATCACAGAGGAGGCCAGTGGGAAGAGAATCTACATTGAGGTCTTTTGCCTCAACCACCCAAACCATCCTTCCTCCATAACCCCAGGGAACACAAACAGGATGACTAGATGTCACAGCACACGGCTGCAATTTACAATCTCTGCAAGCTTCAGGATGAACTGCAGCCACTTGCCAGTTCTTCTGCTCGCTGCTCTTCCTCCAATACTCTTTGGTTTAGGACCAATAACAACTACGAGACACAACATTACTGTACGTAAAACTAATAGTGAAAGGGGAGCCTAAATGGACTTACTTCAGAATGACATTAAAGATTCCTAGAAGCTGTTTTGTCTGATTCCTTCTCTCCTCTCCTCTCCTCCCCTCTCCCCTGAGCTAGGCCTTAGAAGAATAACAGCAAAAACCCACCAAAGGGTTTATGATGAAGTCAACATGCAGAGTAGATGGGTCACCATTGTACCTCAGAAAACACTAGAGCAGCTCCCATCTACAGGCAGATGCTGTGCACCATCCATTCTGTTACTACCCATGCACCTACCATAAATAGGAGGCGACCTTGGGCATGTTAGAAGCATGGTGATGGTGGGGTTCATAAGTAGGCAGTGATCGCTCTAAAGGAAAGGAGAGATGGATACAATGCAGACAAGCATCTCACGCTCCTTGTGAGATCTATGACTTGCAGTAACCCAGTATACAATGGCAAGCATGAAATTCACTTCTCTCCACTGTGTATGTGTGCGTCATGTAGTGTGCTCCTGGGGATAAGGGACACTGTGTGTTCTTGGTCAAAGGGAGAGGGACAGCTGCATCATCTTGACTAACAGAGGGATTGGGCATTATGTTGGGGAGGAGACAGGGGAGCAGGCTCTCCTTGGCTGGTATGACAGGGAGGAGGTGGAGTGTCTGTCCCTGGGATGAAGGGCCATCAGACTTGTTGCCTCTGACTATGATCAAAGGACAGGGCACTATGTGTGGTCCCTCTTGCCCAGGTGTGGCTGGTGCTACGTGCCGCCTCAGCTGCAGGCCCTAGTCCAACAGCTCAGCCAAAAAGCAAGCCTGCCCCCACCGCGTGGCCGGGCCAGCCTCCATCGCCGTCCCTGGCTGAAAGGACCTGCAGCGTGAAGGAGGACCTGCTGTAGCAGAGATGGTGGTGAGGGAGCACCTTCAACAAAAACATGTCCTATGGGGTTCATCTGGGATTTATAAGTCTTTTAAAAAAATACTAAAAATCCATCTCTCTCTCTTTCCACATTGTGGGCAGGGGGAGCGGGCACTTGGCATTTCACAGGAAAGGTGTTGAGGTCCTTCCCTTTCCAAAGCCTACCAGCCGCTCAGTCAGCCCTTCCAGGACTCCTATGGACCAGGTTGCTAGCTCAGAGTGGAAGTATTTCTTTTCCCTTTTCATATTATAAAATACAAACGAATGACAGAAAAGGTCGGGGGGCTGGGGTGGGGAGGGACAGGATTCCTGCTGGCTCACAGCTGTAGGGACCGTCGTTTCCTTCCCGAGATGTTACGGTGGTTGTAGGGTCGCATCTTCATTTCCACAAAGGGTATGGAGAACTCGTGGCCTTTCCAGTGGAACCAGTTAATCCCCTGTGGGCAGGAAGGTGAGCAAGGCACAGGGCAAAAACAACAAAACAGGTGGAGGGGGGAAAAAGAAGGAAACATGTTTGAACTTGGAAGTTAAGTGGGAAGAAAGAAAAGAGTCTTTAATGCAGCGGCTTCGGTTATTATTCTCGGCAAGAAATGTGTAGGTTTCTCTCTCTGGCTTGTTATCCCCCTGCTGCTTTCACAAATGTGCTAACTCGTTAGTTTTCCTGCATCTCCCACTCATAAGGCAAGAGACATTGCTTTAAAGTTTCCCTCTTGAAACCAGATGGAAACTGCCCAGTGTAATGAAAGGGAAGGGTCAGGGAAAGGCACCTCAGGGCTCCTGGTTATGAGAAGTGCCATCTCTGTGTTGTGTGGTTCCGTGCTTACCTGACTGTGCCGGGACTCGCCGTACTTGCCGTTGAGGTTGGTCCGGTGGCAGTTCTTATACCACCAGGCACCTTTGTATGACATGGCGCAGTTTGTAACAGCAACGTCATTGTCTCTGTCCTTGGTGGAGAACGGACGTCCCTGGTGGTAGGTGAGTGAATCTCCTGTCGAAAGAGAGACGCTGTGAGGACACGTTCAGGGGTGTGCCTGTGGTGTGTAAGCACGACTCCCAAGTCAGGCCTGGCTAGTCTCTCTACAGTGAGTAAATTATAATAATGCAATAACATTGTTCATTCTGCTAATCTATAGCTCCCCGGCTCAAAGAGTTGAAGACTGGCAGAATGCTACGGGAATAAGATTAGTTTGAGTTTCTAACACCTGACCTTATGGATCCTAGATCTTTCTGCTGACACTCTGGGGTAGAGATGGACCTGAACAACACCTAGATCCTTGGATCTGAACCCCTCTGGGCTTTGGAGATGGTGAAAACCTGCAACCAGGTCCAGTTCTGAATTTCATGGCTTTAGAAGAGGCTAAAGCAAATTCCTGGATCCAAACAGCCCAGAACTGGAAATCTAGATGTAGATGTGAGGCAAGGGCCCATAACTGCTTTGATGAAGGGTTTCTGTTTCCTCCCATTGGCCAAAGAGATCGTTTTCTCCCTCTAAACATTGGTCCCTTCAAATTGTGGTCTGACTGGCTCAAAAAATAAAGGGTAATGAATATGGTAATTAAAGATAAGCCTGAGTTTGCAAAGTTTGGGGCTTTTCAAATCCGGGGAGGTGGTTTGGCTCATTGTAGGCAGGTGTTGGCTGCAGAGTTTGGATCCTGATGTGAACTTTCCTATAGTTGGGAGATTTTCTGATCTAGGGTCTTTGGGTTGGGCCCATCTTCTGCTTCACTTCTGTCATGTTTCCAAAATAACCCTAAATGCATGATGGGTAATAAGAAGCGAATAAACTCTTTGTGATGCCCCAAGAGAATACCAAAGAGACCAGAAAATATTAATTATGCATAGTCCTGAAAAAAGAACACAGAGCTGTGCATGTGTGTACACACACATGTGGGAAAACCCAAGGGAAATGTACTGTCTGGGAACAAAAAGGGGGTTCCCCTCTGTGCCATTATTAATAAGGGTTTGAAGCACAAAGGGACTTGTTGCATTATAATTCAGCCAGTTGGGGATAGGAGAGGAGTGTCAGACTCCTAGATATGATACAAACATAGGCCAGGATCCTCAAAAGTATTGAAGTGCCTGACTCCCCTTGATTTCAATGGCAATTAGGTGCCTCAATACTAGATGTCTTACAGGCACGGACAGTTCTGCATCTTACATATGGTGGAGGTTTTCTTGCTAGCCCCAAGAAGAAAGTGGTTGCCTTGTACCTGGAGTCTGGGCATTTATGGTCATTAGACATTTTTATCCAAGCTAGTATAGCTGTATCCTGACTCCCCCCTCCATCTTGAACCTGGGGCTGCAGGGTTCCCACTCATCTAGCACCTCCTTGCTCGCACCCAGTAGTTTGCGACTCACTGACTGAGTGGAGAAAGCATGAAACCTGAAGTGACATCAGGGAGCCCTGATTGGAGGAACACCGGAAGCTCTGATTGGTCAAGGCATGCTATATAAACCCAAAGAGAGGCACAGGAAATGGTTTGCACAAGTAGGCCCTAGGTAGCAGCTGCTCAGACACCTTGCCCAGTGCTTCGGCTGCTGATCTGCTTGCTTCCTGGTGACCTGAGTCGTGCCTGACCCTGTCTGGATTGGTGTGTCTGGCTCCTGCCTGATTCCCGGTAACCCAAACATAATCTTCTGCTAACCACTAGACCCGGCTTCCTAAGTCTGACAAGCTGTGGCTAATCTTGTTATTCATTGAAATGTCTAGTCTTAGTTGTGGAAGTGAGTTCTCCCCCACCCAAGGTATTTCAATGTTAGAACATCGCCATGCCAACATTGTGATGGGGAAAGCTTAGCAGTTCTGTCTCATCCAAGAACAGCGGCTGGGCTAACGTTCTAGCAAAAGCAGCAAATGTTTGGCACATATATCATGGTACTACATGGATGACTTCAGCTTTTCAGTTGATATGGAAGCGTGACATTAACGGGCTGATCCGCTATTATTGTAGTACGAGGCACCAGCTCTCATTATTGATCCGATTAGATGAACAGCAGTGGGTGTTGTATAGTACTGCTCATCCCCCATGGAAAATTCCATATGCTGATTAAACATGTGCCTCCTAGTGATTACCATACTGATTTATCTGATTACTCACAAGGAAGCAGAGACAACTAAGGGTGTCTATTTGGATGGGCCAGAGTGGTAGCAGCATCCAGGAAGGGAATTAATCCTTTGGGTGCTGGGATTTCCTCACACTGCTCAAGCTTATGCACTGCAGGTGTTTCAGACCCACCAGTCCAGAAAGCTTCCTAATGCACTTAGGTGCTTGTTAGTGACCGTGTGTACCGGAAGTGCCGTTGTAGTCTCCTATCCGGAGCTTGTACAAACTCCTGGCGTCACCAAGGGAGAACTTGTCGTAATAGGCGTAAGTTGTCTCTTGGCCATCTCGCATGTCTATTCGTAGCTCGTAGCGTCCCTGTGATGTGATCTTGTGAATGTTGTCCAGCCCTGCAGAGAAAAGCAGAGGGTTCAGGTGAGATCTGGTAGCTGATGGCATCTCTGGGAGGAAAGTGGAAGGAGATGCAGGGCTCAGTGAAAATGCACGGCAAGCAAAAGAAAAGCCACGCTGCCTCAGTTCATGTCTCTGCCCTTAGTGACTGAATGTCGACTTTACACTTACGCATGGAACAAGACACAGTCATGTACTTATTAGAGACGGGATCCAGCCATTGAAAGCAGGTCTGGTCCCAGATTTCTAGCATCACTAAGTCTGGAGTTTTGGGGTTTGACTCATTGTAGTAGGAATCATTTGCAAAATCCGAATCTGGCTTCTGATGCCAAACACCTTAAATTTGTAGGGTGTTTGCAGCTTAGGCCCACCTCCAGTATGTACATGCACTAGTCCTGTCCCTGTGTGACAGCATTCCAGTCTGAAGCAATGCTAAATCATCAATATCCATTTTTTAAATTTCCTCAGGTGAATATTCTCACTCATTACGGTCAGGGATGAGCAATGCCAGTTACAGCCATCCATTGAGGGTATTAGTTGTATATGCACCACTCACACAGAGCTTTGCCAATGCCTCGCCCACTCATTCCTCAATTTCCACCATTCTAGGCCTGGGCCTCTTCTGAGAAGAAATTACTAATCATGTTAAATTGCAGAGTGTATTTATAATGCAGACAAAATCCTTCCAGGGAATTGGACAGAATGGCCATGCTCATTTCCTTTTGTGACATAAGGAGATTTAAAACCAGGTCTCTATGAGTGAAAGGCCAGTGAAAATGCCTACTGTGCCACCTCACAAAGGTGCAGCAGTTCCTGATTTGTTGTCTCCTTTTATGTCACATTTCCTCCACATGACACATCGCTAATGATATGAGCGCAGACAGAACAAACGAGGAAACACCAGGGTGAAGAAAAGCAGATCAGTAGGGGGGAGATGGACAGATAACCTCTCTAATGATACGCAGACACAGAGAGATGGAAATTAAGCTTGCAGAGATAAGTGTCCGATTGAAAGTTGCAAAGCGTCCACTGATCACAGCCTGGCTGACAGTGTCAGTGACAGACAAAGAGGTGAGGGCATTACCCAGCCAAAACTCATCCTCTAGGTTTCCAAAGCCAACGCGGTAATCCGTCCACTTTCGAAAGAAATCCGTCAGCCCATTCTGCCGTCTCTGGAACACCTACAAAGGGAGAAGGAATGAAAGCTACATGAAAGAATTTTTGCTCTATGCAGAAACAATGATAGATCATAGCTGAATGGGCTTTGTTATATGTGAAATTAAAAGATAGTGCTTTGCCTTTCTATACCACCCTTCAAGTGAGGAGCTCAGAGCTTGAGAGGTTAATGTATTAATGCTCACTAGAGTCCTGGAAGTTAGACATGTATGGCAACAGTCAATTTACAGATGGATAAACTGAAGTTAAGTGATGTCCACAACAACTCAGCTGCAGAGCTGGGAACAGAATCAAAAAATCCTGATGTCAAGTCCCCTGCTCTAACCAATGGACAACACTGCCCACTTTTCAGCATGTGATTTTGTTTTTAACTAGTTATTTCTGTAAGCCCTTCAGCATGAAATCAGATGTGAGGCTTTCAAGTAGAGTGAAAAAGCAGGTAAAAGCTTTGGTGAATGAATCCACACCAGCCGTGTTAGGAATTTATACTTTGATTTAGGAGGTCCTTTTCTGACTGCACATATACTAGCATTTGTATGTAATAATGTGTGAAAGAGAAAGTGTGACAACACAGTCCAATTGGAACAGCAAAGTGTTCTCTAGTTCTGGTGCCAGTCCACCCGAGTCAGGCTGGATTATGTGATTCAGCTAAGTAGCATTTACCTCTAAAAGCACTGTACAAAGTCACTGTAGCTGATGGCTGACACCACCATATGGTGCGCCCCCTGAATGCAAATCATTTACTTTGAAAGCTAGTATCCATTTAATTTCATGCGTAGGACAATAGATCAGTTTCAGCTTCAAGCTATGCTTTACTTCAAAAAAGAGCTGCAAACATTTCAAATCAATCAAAGGGAATTTCTCCAAGTGCAACTGCTATTAACAGCTCAGCACCCATTCCTTAAGACATGGCAAATGAAGTAGACTTTAATTAAGCCTCTTTTGGTGCATTGCTTTGCTGTCTTTCATAGCTGTGTTGGCCAGAGCTGTGCTTTACTTCAATTTATTATGGGCATACAGTGTTTCTCTGTTGTGGCTTATAGCCACACATCCAAAGGTCGTGGTCTCATCCGAACTACAAAACTAAGCAGTATCAGGCTGAGTTTGTTCTTGGATGGGAGATTTGAAGGATAACCCCTACTGCTTCAGGCAATAGTGCTGGTTATTCAGGAAACATCACTGTTTCCATTGTACCAGTACCCGAGCCTAGAGTTGGCGTCACCATGCTTGGAGGAGTAATGACATGAACATCCTATGGCATATGTTGGACTCATTGGGGTTTTTTAGCCTTATCCTTGCACAGGGGATGGTGCAGGGCTGCAGTGCCCGGCAGTAGGACACATTGTGTCTCAAAGACAAGCCGGGCACTGAGAAGGAATGTGGCTGCTGCTGTGCCTTGCATTGCTGACCTGTGCCACTGCTGATACATGTGGGAACTTGGGCACCGCTTCTCCCTGCCTTCTGTGGGGTGGCTTGTGTCCCAGTAGCTGTTAGCAGGGAGCTGTCCCTGCAGTCAGAAGAGCATGGGGACTTTGATTATAGCCAGAGTGAAAGGCATAGGAAGGGTTCTTGCACCTTTGCCCCCTTTGCACAACCACTCAGAGGCCAGCTGCAATCTAACCCTGAGATAGAGTAGCGATGTTAAACCTGGTGTCCCACCCAAATTACATTCTACCTAGCTTGTTCGTTCCTTCACTTTGATTAGGATAACTTTTCCTTCCTCCCTGTAACTGTTGCCATGTGCTGCCAAACAGCTGCTGCATTCCCCCCCAGAGGTGTCTGCTTGGCCTCTGTGAATGATGTGGCCTTGTAGGGTGTCTAAAGCATTGTGGGGGATCCTCTGGAATAGAAGGATGGTGCTGGGAAATGGAAAACCATTAGTAGAGTTGTGCAAATAACTGATGTTCCCGTTTACTGTCCAAACTGCAAAAATAGGGGAAAAAATGGTGGTTGTTATTTTTACCCTTTCAAATTTTTTTTAATGAAACTGAAATAAAATTCAAATGAAAATCATTTTGAATTTTAAAAAAATCTAAACCTTTTGAATTTGGGGTGAATTCCCCACCCCACAAAACATTTTGCCAAATCCAACAAAAATTCACACGTTTCAGTCAACCCGAAACTGCAGTTTTCAATGGGAAAAAAAGTTTTTTGTCCTAAAAATGAGCCCCAGCTCTAATTGTTCTGATGATGAGTTCTACATGGAGGCTTACAATCCATCCTCCCCCATCCGTGGTCATGTCACAGTACACTTGCACTCGCTGGCTGAGGTCCCCATTGATGGAGATGGTGTAGAGTCCACTCATGGTGTCGCCATTCATCAAATGCTGGGCACAGTCCTGAGGATTAGCGAACACGCGGCCTCCTGTGAAATTAGAGAGGCAAAGCTTCAAAGAGGGCACATCACCTCCCTACACATATCACATGACATATACCGTATGATACAACATCGTACAAGGCTTACTGCAATCCAGGAAGGACATGCATTGACTTCCGAGGTCATGAATCAGCTTGATAAATCATGGTAACTCCATCAAGTGCATAAGCTATCTCTTGGCTTACTTCACATGTCATAATTAACTCAGTGGTGGTGACCCCTTTAACACAGCAAACCTCTCCCCTTATAAATTAAAAACACTTTTTATATTTAACACTATTATAAATGCTGGAGGTGAAGCAGAGTTTGGAATGGAGGCTGACAGCTCACAAACCCCCTTTAATAACCTCGTGACCCCCTCGGGGTCACGACCCCCAGTTTGAGAACCCCTGGATTAACTCATCATATGCCACAAGGTATAATGGCATGACACTCAGTAATTCTACTGGGTACAATGGATGAACGTGTGACATCTTGTGATAGTTTTCCATGGATCTTGTTAAATTAATTGTCCCCAATATACACAGATATTTTGGGAAATACCAATGTTCTTTCCTCATCAGTACTGGTTGTACAAATATGTAACCAGACTAATTTCAATGGAGTACTACATCCATGTAAGTGTCAGGACAATCCAGTTCATGCAGTGCTCGTCTTTGTTAGAAAATTTAGCCGGGTGTACCTATGACCCGGCAGACATGGTGTTGAACACAACCGGTCCATGTCTGAACACAACTGGTCCATGTCTATGCAGACTGCAAAGTCATGGTCATCGTTCTGGTAGGTAGCATGATTCTTCATGGACATGTTCTAGCTTGATGCAATTTTCAAATGAAGACATGCTCACAGTGAGGGGCCTGAGGTAATGGTTTACCGGTCGTATATGATCTCAACAGGTCTGCAGTATCAGAAACCTGCATCTGAGTCTTAGCTCACAAAAGTTTAATACTAGCTTAGCACTAGCGTAGGAGTTGTACTGATTTACAATTTTGTACGTGAGAGGGGGAATTTACTCTGTCCAGTGGAGTTTTTTGTGATCTAGAGTAACTGTGAGAAGAACAAGGCCCAGTGGCCACAGCTGTGATCATCCTCAGTGAAAAATATTAATTATAGTGGACCAGATTTCACTCAAGTCCAGATTTTGTTTTCATTCATGCCAAGAGTAAATAAGGAGCAACTTCCCTGAAGTCACTGGACTTACACTGGTTTACACTAGTGTATGTGTGAAGAGAATCTGGACCATGTCACAAACTTGTGGGGAAATCTTTTGTTCAGTTTCAACGATGGCTTAAATGGCAGTGTCAGTTACCCAGGAAATGGATGTAATTCACTGGGTGTGCAATGCCTGTGTAAGTTTAACATTGAAGGGGATGTGATTAAAAAGTGAGAAGAAACTTACAAATGCTGGTTTTGTTGTTGGCTTTTCTATTCAGTCCCCCCACCCATTTTTGGGGTGTGAATAGTCAAGTGATTTCATTTTGGTCAAAAGGCAAAGAGCCCCTATTTTACAGTCTCTGAGCTTTTTAACACATCCCATGAGAGACTTGTCATGTATAGTACTAAACACACAATGAAACCTGCTTCAAAGACACACATGTTGGAGTTCCCGGTGCTTTGGGAAGACCACATTTCTTAATTTATATTCAGATCTTTAAAATCAAAGATGACTTTGAAAGAAATTTCAAAGTACAAATTATAAATAGTGTATCGATTTTTTTCCCTTTGTAGCATTTGTATACAATTCCCCCAGAACCTTATGCAAATATGAAAGACAAACGGAACACACAGCTATTAATATGCCAGGAAGAACGAAAGAGCCCTGTTATGTGTGAACACAAAGAAGCAAAACGTCTTAAACAAAGGTGTTTGTTTTTTTTAAACAAACCAACAAAAACAACCTATTGTTTTACTGGAAAGGGCCCAGATATGTTGCTAGAGTAAATGTAATGCGATACCCTGGCCCTTAAACAAGGGAATGGTGGACGCAACCACAGTCTACCATGGTTTCATTGTTCATCCCCAGATGCTTTTGTTTCAGAGCTATATTAGAAAAGAAACAGGTTTATTGTGTGCTTGTTACTCACTTCTGTTTTCATTTAAACCTACTTCTAACATGTCTCTCGGGGAAGAAGCCATCCACAGTACGTTCTCTGACTCTGTATAGGGTCAGATCCTCAGCTGCCGTAAATCGCAGCATAATCTCCCTTGTCAGTGGAGCCTCGCTGATTTACACCAGCTGGGGATCTGGTCCTGTCTGTTTTCATCCTGAACTCAAGTTCATCGCCAACAAGTATATCTACTTTTCCATCCCCTATTGCATATGCTGTAATCCTTTGTGCCCAATGGAGTTGACACAAGAATAGCGTAAGAGGCCCTGAACTACAGATATATCAGAAAAGAAGAGTTTTTGTTGTTGCTAGCTTCTGTTATCACATAAAAGCAGGTTACAAGGCCTTTCCATGTGCCTTGACTCATGTGTATGTCTGCAGTGGATTCAAAGGGAGCCCTTTTAAAAGAACTATATGAATACCGAGGAAGCGATTTCAGCACTGTAGAGTGGACAGCATCTTTAGGCTTTTTCTCATCTCTTTTGAAGAGCTGAGGTACAAATGGAATTGGATTCAGCTCTGCACAATGTGCATAGTGTCTATTGAGTGCCGCTTTCTGAATAAAACTCTCCCACACTGGACGCTATACTCGGCCCACATTTTTAACATGAGTGTTTTCAACATGCAGTGTTTCAGGGCAGACTGCTTCTTGTAAGCACTCTGACAATAGGGCCATGGGGACTGTGAGTCTCAATCAGCTTAACGCAACATCCATTCCATGAGAGTAGAATATTTAATAAATAGGACTGCTCTAAAGAACAGGAAAGCAGGGCTGTCTGGCAGTCAGAGCATCACAGGGACTGGTTCTGGCCTTATGCTGGTTGTATATCGCGGTAATTCTATTGACCTTGGTTGAGTTGTTCCTGATATAGATAAGGATGAGATCAGGATCATGTCCATGGAATTTAGATATGGAAAAGACCCGTTAAGTCATTTAGTCCACCCCCTGGTCACTACAAGAGTATCCCCTGCACTGAATGTTCTAATTCTTTGGAACAGGAGCAAGAACAAGGTAAAAGGATCTGTTTGAAATAGATGATCTCTGTATTAGACATGGGGCCTGAATTCAAAGCCTGGATCCAAATACCCTTGGACTAGGGCAGAATCCAGATCTGGTTTCTATCTCTGCTTTACGCCCTTTGTAGGAAGAAGGGAGGGTAATGCCTGTGGTAATGGAAGTTGAGATAGAACTTAAGTCTTGACTTTGTGTATTTGGGTGGAGTTGGGGAGGAGTTGTCTTCCTTAGTTCTTCCTTAGTACTGGGAGGTAATAGACAATCTTCTTGAGACACTCAGGGGAGACCGTGGCTGGCGCAGCATGGCACAACTGGTCAAACAAGGTGGGGAATAAACTCCTGACCTGTGATGAAGCTGGTGGAGGTGAATCCACTCCTCATCGCATCCTGGGCTGCCTGCAAGCGTACGGTGTATTCCGTGGTCTCCAAAAGCCCCTCTAGGCGGATCCAGGTGTCCTCAGCATCGACTATCAGCTCCTAGACACAGGTCACAAAAATAGGTAGAAGCCAAAAGCAACAGACTAGACAAGCTACCGGGAACCCAGACAGCATGTAAAGAGGGAGCAGAAGCCAGGAACTTCTATAGCGCATGCTGTCTGACTGAATATCTTAAAGCCATTTACACCCGGTAAGCTCTCAACACCCTGGTAGTATTGCCACCCCCATTTCCCCAAGCAGTAAACAGAGGGAAAGTGACTTACCTTAAGACACAGTATGTTGAGGCAAAACTGAGATTAGACTCCATATCACCTGACTCCTAGGCTTGGCTTTAGCTGCTCAGCCATGTTTCCTCTTTGAACTTCAACCAAGGGGAGATTTAGGGTGACTAGACAGAGTAAGTCCTCCAGAATAGGGGGTGATGTGTAGATGCTATTCATGGTCCCTATGTACATGGATTACTGATTCCCATAGGCCCAGGGAACATGTTGTGTAACCTCATTGGAAGGCGACTGAGGTGCTTCATGGAAAAATGGGTAGTTCAAAAAGCCTCTTTAATCCCTAATCATTTAACATGAAGTTCGGCCCTCGGCAGAGATCTATGTACCACTTACCCTACTGGGGCAGTGATGGTAGGGTTAAGTGGTATCCAGGTGATTTCCTGTTCCTCTGCAGAGGAGTGTATTTCACTCTTCCCTGTAGACTCGATAACCACAACTGATGGTCAGTTTACTGTACCTGCTGGGAGCTGAATTCAGGACATCGTCTTTCCCTTGAAATAGGGCATCCCTGATGCCCAAAGCAGCATAAAGAGTGGAGCTGGCCAGCTCTGTTAACCAATTCCTAGTCTGTGCTCTCCGTTGTTTTAATCTAGCTGGTGGTCAGCCAGATCATACGGCTCTTATTGAATCTCTTATTGAAATGCAGACATCCTGCGTCCCTTGTGAACTAGTGATGCTGTCAAAGAAAACTATTAGGCATGTTTGCAATGGCCGATTTCTGATAAAGCAATGTTCATCGGCAGGTTTCTTCCACATAGTCAGATATTGACAAACTTATTAAATGATCAAACACACTGTGCTTTAGGGTGAATTAGTTGCCTGCATCTCTCTTTCTACTCTCCCTAAAGATAAGTGCCATATTAGCCTCCTTCCATTGCTCAGGTACCTTTCTCCAGGCTCCAAGGACTAATTTTCAGAGGATCTGAAATATTCTCCACTACTTCTTCCAAACATTTCATGTGAATCTTGCCCATTTGGACCTGCAGATGTAGGCACTGATTTTTGTCTCCATCTCCTGGCTTACCCTGTGGATTGTGGCCTATCTAAGCATTGTGTAATAGTAGTGTCTATGAGGAAACTTGTGTCTGTCATCCGGGTCAGCCTGAGCCTCAGATTTATGCAAAACCCTCAGAAACATTGTCCTTCCTCTGGTGACTTGGATTGCCTCATTTATTAGTCCCTCCCCCCTGCCCCCAATATCTGATTCTTGTTTTAGTGCAAACCCCATAAAGTGAAAACTCACCTTCCGGCTTCCATCAGTCGATCTATAGGTCATGATGTAGTTCTCGATCTCTGCCATTGGAGGTTGCCATGAAAGGAGGGCGCTCCGGCGGGTGACCTCAGTGGCAGTCAAGTTAGTCGGGGGATCCAGAACTGCAAAGGTCAATAGGAACCTAGGGAATTGGGAGTCTGACACACTAGCATTGCTATTACAGCTGATTGAAACAGCCCATGCTGGATCCATGAATCATGTTGACAGGTGTGCTGGCTGAACCACAGAAGTCTGGGATTTCTTACGATCCTGTGCTTAGCCCACCCTTCCCCTTGCTCTCCAGGCCAGTTTGCCCACCCCAGCTCGGAGCTCCACTTACAGGGCACTAGGAACCAGATAAATATTCTCCACATGGACTTCTTTTGTCATGCAATTGCTCTGAACTGCATGAAGCAAAATGTCTGTCAAGTAGCTATTTAATAGTGAAACAGATTCCATTGTTCTCCTGGATACAGCCTTACAGCAATGGGCAAGAAAAGAACCTGATAAGGGTCTCCTCTTGAAGCCATTGGGAAATCTTATCTAGGGGGATCAGCAGAAGGGAACTGCTGGGTGTTTGAAAAGCATCTTTCTGAACCTGACATCTCACATGTATCAGTACAGTCTGGTTCTTATACCATGCCTATCATCATGGTCCCCTCCTGAGGACCCTTCCAACCCTGATATTCTATGATTCTATGATCATGGTATCTGGGTGCCTTTGTGGTACCTGAGCACATAAAACAGACTGTTTAACAACTTATTTGGCTTCTGTTCCCCAGCCGGACAAAATAAAAGCCACTAAGGACACTTAGTTGGAGAAGGAAAGAAGCTACTGTACGTACGAGTCGTAAAGTTGGTGCTGATGGTGCTGCTTGTAAGAGGCCCATTGGTGGCATACATGGTGACCATGTAGCTGGTACTGGGCATCAGGTTGATCAGCTGGTACTCTTGGTTGGCCCCATCCACTAGAATGGTCTCCCCTGCAACTGAAATCAGATGGAGCTGGCTTGGGCTGAATACGGAGCCCTTCTGTTGTTAAAATATGACTAGGAAAGAACCATTTGGAAAAAAAGCCTATCGTGGCGGGTTGCCTGGGCACAACAGGTGGCATTTAACCATGTTGTGCCACCAGCCTGTTTCCGCTCTTTGGGTGAAAGATGTCCTCCTTCCTTCAGATCGCAGAAGAATGAGGATGGCCATTGCCCACACTCTTTACAAAAACCATGCCAACACCTGGCCCGTACATAGCACTTCCCATCCCAGGTTCTCCAAGCAACTTACAAAGAACACAAGAATTATGATCACCATTTTACAGCTGGGGAAACAGGCTTAGAGAGGAAGGGTGAGTGAGTTGTGCCAGGTCACAAAGCAAGTCAGCAGGATTAAAACCCAGCTCCCTCCCCACTGGATCATGCTGCCTACTTCCTTGCTACTAACTTGTAAACTTGCTGCCCTACAATCCGTGAGCAGAGCAATTTTGTTTGGTGTTAGAAGCAGGCTTGGGCAGGAGTGGGTTTAAAGCAACAGATGTAAGGAAATGTCAATTTCAGCCACCACACTGAAATCAACAAAAAAATATCCACCTTCAGTTGGTGGAAGTGCAGACCTCTCCCCCACCTTGCACCTGCAGGAACTGGGTGGCGCCAGACCTGCGGCAGTGCAGGGGGCTCTGCGAAACCCGATTCCCTGTCTGGGGATGGAGCCATTCAGCAGGGGGATGGCCTCCCCATGGCCAGCAGCTTGTCCTCCTCCTTGCAGTCTTGGCCAGGGTCTCTGCTGTGCCGGGCCATGATCACAGCCTCCCTGGCACCTTGCGCTCCAGTGTCTTGGACCCCTCAGCCGTGCAGGGAGCCCCCTGTAGCCCTGCTGTCAATTCTGGGAACCCCCTACAGCCCCCCTTTATTTTGCTCAACTGTGAAAATAAAGATATTTTAAAATTGGGGAAAAAAATAAATAAAAATCAACATTGATCGTTGAAATTGTTAAAAAAAAAATAGAATTCAGCCAGGCCTGTGCATAGGGGACTCTCTGTTTGCCCACTGGCTGCATCTTCTCCATTTTCCCCCTCTTCAGTACTGGGGCTAACTAGTGGCCCCCTCATGTTCATGTCTAGTTTTGGTGAGCTGGGCTAGCTGTGAGGGTGTCTGGAGCTCAGATTTCAGGGTCAGCCATGTCCTCAGAGTGCTGGGGCAGGGAGCATCGCAGGGTGGGATGCTCCCTGTTGATACAGTGTTGGGGCACCTCTCTCTGGGTTGACAGGACACTCAGGCAGGAGTAGGCTGTGTAATGTGTGTGTGGAAAAATTCAAGCAGGAATAGATATCGGTTTGAAATCAGGACATGGCTGGCCCCTCTGCCATCCTGTCCCAGCTTTTCTGGTCTTTGCGTGGCTTTGCCAACCAACTCAGAGAGCAAAATCCACCTTCTAATTTCCCGTAATGATAGAATCCCTTTAAACCAGCTGTCTTTGGGGTAGGTGGTCAGGTTAATTAATTAATTTCTGATGCAGCTAATAGCGTTTAGCTAGGGGCGCTAAAGACACGTGCAAATCTCGCTACTTACAGACTGGAGGCAAACCAGATCGGCTTCCAGACATACCTGTGTAGTGTGTTAGCACAATGACGTAGTTCTCGACTTCGGAAAGAGGTGGGTTCCACTGGAGCAGGGCTTCTGTTGGGGTGACATTGGTGGCAGTCAGACCCAGAGGGTGGTCCATGGCTGAGAAGGAATCAGAAATTCATCAGGTGAAGGGTGTGAAGAGGAACTGGGCTCTCTGGGCGGGGCCAGAGGTGAAACCCATCCCAGGAAAACCTTCCTAACAGTAAGAACAGTATGACAGTGGAACAGACTGCCTCAGGAAATCATCAAAGCTCCTTCACTGGAGGTGTGCAAAAGAAGGCTGGGTAGCCATCTGTCTGGGATGGTTTAGACAACAAATCCTGCATCTTGGCAGGGGTTAGACTAGATGGACCCTTGCAGCCCCTTCTAACCCTCTGGTTCTATGATTCTAACTCCACTGCACATGGGTTCAATAGCTTCTATTCCTGCTAGGCAGATTTTTTTTTAATCCACAGGGGCTTTTCTATGCTGCTGCTGCTGCTAACTCTGTGGGGTAGAAAACCCTTGGAGTAGGTGAAATTTCTGCAGTTGCTTCCTGCAGGACAGGTCAGGTTCTGTTTAAGGGTCCTAGACACAACTTGACCCTTCCTCTCTCCATGGTATAATAAAAGAGCTAATTTAGATTCAATTGAGAGTCTGTTACATGTTGCAGAGCTGAAATCACTAATACCTAGGTCTAAGTATTAGACCTACTTTGGGGCAGTGAGACTGCCCAGTATGCATTAGTAATGAGGCTCCCCCACTGACAGCTGAAATCACTGAGAGCTGCGTTAAGTAGGGGGAGCCCTGACGACATCTTGGCAAGCGGCCAGCCGGACAGCTGGTGGAGAGGTGTGGCAAGTGGCCAGCAGGATGGCTGGCGGAGAGGCGTGGCAAGCGGCCAGCAGAGAAGCTGGTGGAGAGGGCCAGAGCAGAGACGTGGCAATTGGCTGTTGGGGCGACGAGTGAGTGCCTGAGCAGTGTAGCGTGTAAGGTGCCTCCTTACCCCCTCTGCCTTCCACACAGGATGGGAGGTGAACTCTGCGGATGAACCTCTGAACTCTGGGGTTGCCCTGGCCAAGGACAGCAACTGAGTGGGGTACAGAGAAGGGACTGGCATATTAAAGGGACTTTTGGGTTGCTGGATTTAAGACCCTGAGGGGAAAAGGACACTGCCCAATTTACCAGGGGGTGGGTCTTTTGCTCATGGTTTGGGTTTATGAACCCCAGTTACAGTGTTTTCCCAAATTAATGCTGAGTTAATTCCCTCCTTTTATTAAAAGTTTTTGCTACACTCAGACTCTGTGCTTGCGAGAGGGGAAGTATTGCCTCTTAGAAGCACCAACGGGGTGGTGTGTAATTGTCCCAGGTCACTGGGTGGGGGCTCGAGCCGGTTTTGTGTTGTATTGTTGAAAAGGAACCCCTAGATACTGAACCTGGCCCTTGTTGCTGCTGGCTCCACCTGGCAGAAGGGTTACACATGCTATTTAGAGCATTGTGAAGTTATTTCAAAGTGTGGAAATAGCATTGGATGCCTTCACAGTGCCCCTTTCCCTGAACCAGTAATGTGCACTACAAGTCACCAGGAACAGAGGCTGCAGTTTTGAGTCCGAAGCCCTTTTAAGCTATGGTCATCCAAACAATGAGGTCACCCTAAGAGTCAGCAGCAATCCTTGCTCCCACTCCCCTTGCCTCTCTGCACATCACACCCTGCCAGAGGGCATGCACGGCACAACCCCCGATCCCATCAATGGAAATCTCCCCTACCTGTATACACGGTGCTGGAGACCCGCTCGCTCTCCTCCCGGCCCTGCACGCTGCTCAGGCTGATCTCGTACTTGGTCGCTGGCTGCAGGCGACTTAGGGTGTATTCGGCAACGTTGTTGGCGACAGCCGTGCTGTCCACTCTCCCTGCAAAGCACGGGCAGAGCAAAGAGCTTCATGGTCACTCATCAGATTGTCCTGCTCTGAGCAGGAGCCTAGAGAACCTCAGGCTGCAGGCTCAAGGAGCGGAGACCCAGGCTCAGTTCTAGGGTGCAGGCAGGTTAGGGGGTATTGGAAGTTACTTGGAGGAGACGCACGGACAGGAATGTGAGTGGACCTTTGCCACCTGCCTCGCAAGCCCCAGCGTAGAGGGCATGCCAGGAGAGTGGGGATATGCCCATTGTGCTGAATGCTGGGTATTTGGGGCTGCTGTGGGTTGGAACAGCCCCGTGGGGCTGCTCTAACTTATGCCAGGGCTATTTCACACCCTGGAGCAGCACCAGATCTGGAGGGCGCGCAGCCACCTGTCCCTTGGGCTGGCCCTCAGTGCCTTGCATCTCACAAGGTTCAGCAGAGTGGATCAATAACACTGGGGCCAAATTCACTCTTTGTTCTTGCTGGCTTTGGCACCGGCTGCTGGTGGCGGGGTACCTGCTGGCAGGGAGGACGTAGCAGTGTGCAGTGACAGCACTGTTTCCGTCACTGACTGTGGGCACTGCACCACCCCCTAATCTGGGTATCTCCATCTCTGGCTTAGCTCCTAGCAAGACCCCAGACTTGCTCTGGAGCCATTCTAGTAGGGCAAGATCCCTTAGGTAATGTCTGCACTGCACCTGGAGCATGCACAGATAGATGCCGCACTAGCCGTGCTCGGGTTAGCTCGCTCAACAGAGTACTCATCACGGGGGTCTGGGCGGACTTGTCCTTGGGAGGTTGGCCTGAGCCATCACCTGCACCACTGCGGCCATGCTGCTACATTTAGTGCACTATCTCCGCCAGAGCTAGCATGCATCTGCCTACCTGCGCCTGGAAATGTGCTTCTAGCAGCTGGGTAGACACACCCTTGGACAAAGACTCAGGACCTGTGCCTGAGAGGTGCTGGACCCCCACCCCTTCCATGGGACCTGTTCCCAGAAGGTGTGGAAGTTAGAGTTCTGTGCGTATTACCAGCCACATCATGGTGCATCCCCAGGGGGCGTTAACTTCTTATGCCAAGCCTGAACCGACCCACATCAGCTGGACAGAGGGAATTTGGTGATTGTGGAGGTGGCCGGTGCCCGCTGCAGCTCAGCCAGAACTGAGGCCTGGACCCTGAACTTGCAGATCAGTGGATGGGAAATGTCTGCTCCAATAAATGGACCCTCTGCTCCTGGAGTGGGAGCACTGGTTTGAGAGCTTTCACTGTAAGAGATTTGTTGCCATTCATCCTCTCTCCTGGGGGAAGGCAGACAGCGCCAGGGCTGCCTTTAGGTGGACTGGTTCCATAGGACCCTGCCCCACCCCTCCACTTCACCCCCAGCTCTTTCCCTCTTGGTTTCCTATGTCACCCCTCCATCTGCCTTCCCCACAGCCTCTCCACTTCTTTCCCCTCTCCACTTGTTTCTTTCTGGCCTCTCTAGGGTTGGGAGCTACCCAACGGGTGCCTGCCCCCTCTCCCATTCCTACCATGCACTCTGCAGTACTGGCTTCTCCCTGCTGCATACCTCCCCCTGTAGTCATGGCCTGCAAGGTGGCTGGCTGTTACGCTATGCCAGAAGCGACCTAGGAAAGCCCACAGCCCACTTTGGGACAGACTTTAGAGCTGGCAGCTGGGTTACCTTGTGCAGATCGGTAGGACACTCTGTAGTGGTCAAAAGCTGCGATAGGAGGGGCCCAGAAGATCATCACTGAGTCCTTGGTTACGTTGCCCACAGTGAGGTTCTTTGGGGGGTCGATCCCTAGAGGAGACAGGCAGAGGCGAGATAAAGCCTGCGAAGCAGTCACAGAACACGGATTGCTGGCTGAACCAGTGGTCGATCCAGCCGAACATTTCTGCACAGAGAATTTCATAGCACAGGCACCCCAGCTGCCAGAAAGGGGGGCTGCATCTATCGGACTCCTCACCTGTAAAAAAAGCCAGGTTATGAGGACAGTATGGGTGTATGCAAAGGAGTGACAGCAAGACAACCCACCGGGGGAGCTATTTAAATAGCCAAACTCAACAAGGAATGCTGACATTGAACCCAATTCTAGGATTCAAAAGCCTCCAAGTCTCTGAACTTGAGCTGGAGAAACAAGAGGCCTGATGCAAAGCTCAGGGAAAGAGTCCCACAGACTGACTGACTCCAAAGGAAGGTTTGAATGCTCAGCCCCTCTCTGGAGCTCTGCCGTGTGTCTGGAAATGGGTTAGCTCCCACACCCCACAACTCCCATCTCTCTAGGCCCATTGTGCATTTGTTTGTGGCTGCTTTATCCTAAACTGGAAGGATGGGGTTGGCTATAAAGTGATGTACAGACCACAAGCTAAACACATTCATTTTTTTGGCCATGGTGGAGATTCCAGGATTAAGGGAGGCTAAATGTTTAATCCCCTTGTATTGTTTTGGGTTCTGTCGCCACGGCAAGGACAACCACAATATGAAACTGGGTATGTAGCGTGCTGCAATGGGAGCCCAAGGCAGAGTATCTGGTTCTGGAGCATGCAGAACAGGAGGCCTGAGACAAACGGTCTAGCTGTGGGGCATGTGGAACTGGAGCCTGAGATGAATAATCCCTTTAAAATAATGAGCCGTAGGGGCAGCAACTTTCTTTTGTAAAGGTAAATTATTCTTTTAGCTCCAACTCTGAAGGATGGTTTCGAGCCAGGAGTCTCCGTTACCTCCCGTGTGTATCTTGGATCTCTTCTCCAGCCGGAGATTAGGCATGAGCATTATACCCCATCAAACAGCTGCTGACTTTACCTGTTGTGATGGAGCCCACTATGGGCTCGGAGCTGACCAAACCATGCACAGCCACCAGTGACACGATGTACTCTGTAGATGGTTGCAAGCCAGACAAGGTGGCGTGTCTCTTGGTGGCATCTAGCATGACCTGCTTGGTCTCCTCCTTGTCTCTGGGATTGTAGTTCAAGATAAACCTGTCTGCTGGAGGGGAGGGGTCACTCCAGGTGATGTTCAGGCTGGAGGAAGTCACATGAGAAAAATGCAGCTGTGTGATTGGTCGGAACCCTGGAAACCAAAGAGAGGTGTTGCAGATCTGTCATGGAATTGTTACACACCAAAGCAGGAGTGTTGCATATGACAAGACATCCATCATACAGAATTAATCAGAGAAAAGTCTCATTCAAGAAGTGTCCCAGGCAGAAGTATGGCTACATACTGAACCACTTCTCGCTGGGTTATGTCACTATGTGGCATGATGCTACTGTAAAATACTAGGATTCACTGCCCAGCAGTGTCAGATCGAGAGAGGCCAGCCCTGGTCTCTCCATTAACTTGAACCAGAGTTGAGAACAAGAGGAAAACTGAGGAAAAAAGGGTGCTCGACCCACAAAATAAGCTCCACTCAGAGACAACTGGTACCTGCTGAGAGGGGGGGCACAATTTAAAGGTTCACCCCCCCCAACAGCTTGAGTCATGCACCCCCTAAGCACGCAACCCCCCCTTACCCTCAGTGGCCCCTCCCTGCAGCTCCCAGCTGTTTGCTGCTGCCTCTCCCCACAGCTGCAGCTTGAAGCTCACCAGCTCCAGGAGCTGCTGCACAGGGAGGGGGCCTAGCTAGCAACCTGTGGCAGAAATCTGGGTTGGGGGACACATGACCGTGCATGGCCGCCCCCCCCCCCCAATGCATTGCCTCTGGCTCTACCTACAATAGTTGCTAGACACTGTCAGTGGATTGGGCAGATATTCAAAATCTGATCGTATGTACTATCTTGGTTCCTTGAGCATGGGCTCTGCAAGCTCATAGGGCCTGGTCCCATTGACTGAGTCAAAAATGGAAGTGGTGGTATCTCAGCAAGGGCACCCACCACCCCACCATGGTGTTAGAATGAGACATCCCTCTCAGTAGACTGTGTGGATCTGTGATCCTCCGCCTTTTCTTACAGGCTTTCCCGAGCAATGACACAGTGAACAATGCTGCTATTTCAGTGATCATCACCGGGTATCTGAGTTCACCACACTGAAATGTATGGGCAGCTTACACCTTTTGCATCAGTTATGCTCATCTCACATTTGCAACCATAACGGCTAGAGACTTTTTTTTTCCAAACAAAATGTTGAGATTCGGGAGCACAAGATGTCAGGTCAGGAGATATGCCAGCAAGTTGCACCAATCTGAGCCCTGGCAGAGCTTGTCCCAGCCCTTCCCTACCTGTGAATGCATCCACTGTGGACTCCAGGCTCTGCTGACGGCCTCTCTCGGCAATGACTGAGATGGTATATTCTGTACCGGGATCCAGGTCTGAGAGTGTCAGCTCAGACTTGTCCTTGGGTGCAGTCACCTCGGAGGCCATCCCGGAAGCTGGAGTGAAGGTGATGCGGTAATGGTCGATGGGGCCCTTTGCCTGGGTCCAGGCCAGGGAGATAGACGTTTCCGTGGAGGCTGTCACCATGAGGTTCCGAGGGCTGTCAAGCTCTGTGGGAGGAGACGATTATGAGGTAAATCAGTGGCTCTCAACCTTTCCAGACGACTGTACCCCTTTCAGGAGTCTGATTTGTCTCTCATACCCCCAAGTGTCACCCCACTTAAAAACGACTTGCTGACAAAATCAGACATGAAAATACAAAAGCGTCACAGCACCCTATTATTGAAAAATTGCTGACTTTCTCATTTTTACCATGTCATTTTAAAATAAACGCATTGGAATATAAATATTGTACTTGCATTTCAGTGTATAGTATGTCGAGCAGTATAAACAAGTCATTGTCTGTATGACATTTTAGTTTGTACTGACTTCACTATGGCTTTTTATGTAGCTTTTTGTAAAACTAGACAAATATCTAGATGAGTTGATGTATGCCCTGGAATACCTCTGAGTACCCGCAGGGGTATGTGTACTCCTGGTTGAGAACCACTGAGGTAAATTATAATGCAAGCCACAGGGCTCAGCACACTGGAGTTGTGCTGGTTGAATTGCGTACACTGCAGCCCAGGACACCTAGCAGGGCTGAACGGTGCATGGCTTCCAGGCGTGCCCAGAGATGATTTTATGATAACAACGGAGTCTCTGGTGTGTGAAACAGCTGAGGGGGCAGGAAGGGGAGCTGGCTAGTGCTTTTGGTACCTGAAGTGACGCTCCCCTAGTTACAAGACCTAAACATACTTAGGAAGACTGTGGCTATGGCTACACTAGAGAGATGGCAGCGGCGAAGCTGCCAGCTCTCTAATGTAGCCACTCTAAGCCGACAGGAGAGAGCTCTCCCGTCAGCTTAACTACTCCAGCCCCCGCGAGTGGCGGTAGCTGTGTTGGCAGGAGAAGCGTAGGCGCGGGAACTACGGGTATGGGGGGGTGCTGTAGCATCCCCAGGTTTTATGCGGGATCCCAGCCCCACCCCTGAGGATGTGCTCCTGGCCCTGCACGTGGGGTCCTGGCTGCCAGCCCATGCCCAGGGCTCCACTACTGGCCCCATATGCAGGGTACCGGCTGCTGGGCCCGAGCCCTCCCCCAGCCTCAGCCCTTTTACCCCTGTCCGGGTCCCCTCCTCCCATAGCCTTGCTCCTGGTCTCAGCTCGGGGGTGGGGGTGGGGTCGTCAACAGGGGTAAAGGGGCTGGCTTTCGGCACCCCCGCTAGTAAAAGTGTTCCAGCAACCACTGAGGAGCAGCTCTCCCACTGACATAGCATAGTCTACATTGGCATCTATGTCGCTCAGGGGGCTGGTTTATTCACACCCCGAGAGACATAAGTTATGGCGACATAAGCTGTAGTGTAGACACAGCCTGTGGCAGGATCCTATAGCAGAGGCTGCACCAGGCAGCACTGGCTCTCCCTGGCTCTGCAAAGGCTACGGCTGGGCGTGGTTTAAAGGAAGCAGTGCTGTGCTTTAAGAATGATGCCAGCGAGTACCATGCTGTGTGTTTTATTTTGCCTGTTTATAGGTCTGTGATCTGATGGCACATGGAACTCACCAGTCCTCGCGTTCATGGTGGCTGGGACGCTCTGCTTGCTGTCCATGACGGCCGATATCCCAATTCCATATTCGGTTCCTGGCACCAGATCTGCCAGCAGATAAAAAAAAAAAAAGACAGGTTATGCTTCTGTGTGTGTGTGCATGAGTGTGTGTGTGTATTGCCAACCACAAGATTGTGTTTCCTTTGTTTTGCCTCACCCCCGCCATTCTCTCTTCACTATCAACCTTGTCACGGCAACTCCACGTTCTCCTGTTGGCATCTAAGTGCTTATAAAGGGCACAGTATTTATGGTATCTAGGAGCTAAGGTTGCTGCTGAAAATTTTCCAATAAAACTATTTGGCAGTGCCGAATTATTTTCTGGGGTATCAAGTGCCTCCTTCCGAGATGTCTGTAAAGTGAAGCAACTTAGGGAAATCTTAGGAGAAATTGAACAGGACCTCAGAAAACAGCTTCCTATTGTGAGAGTTCATGTGAACAGGTGTCCGAGGAAGCCATGGGCCGTGCATAACGATTTCTGATGGCCCTCCAAAGGCCGGGAAGTGGAATCATGCTAGGTATTCTTGATTGCCATCTACTGGCGCCTTATCTATTAGCTATTTATATATGTACCTATAGAGATCACTCCTGTAGCACCTGTCACCACAAAATTTTATTTTGCTTTGCTACTGTATGTCTACACTACAGACGTGGGCGCAGGGACTAAATCTGGAGTGACTTGACCAGGTCATTCACTTTAGTCCTGCAGTCAGTCCTACTGAACCGTCTTATGGTGAGCAGGCAGGCGATACGGATTGCTAGCAGTCCTACTGCATCATCTTCTGCCGGGCAGCCACGAGATGTGGATGGCATGCAGTCCTTCTGCACCGTCTGCTGCCAGCCAAAGATGTAAAAGATAGATGGAGTGGATCAAAACAAGAAATAGACCAGATTTGTTTTGTACTCATTTGCTTCCCCCCTCTCCACCATCTAGGGGACTCATTCCTCTAGGTCACACTGCAGTCACTCACAGAGAAGGTGCAGCGAGGTAAATCTAGCCATGTATCAATCAGAGGCCAGACTAACCTCCTTGTTCCAATAAGAACAATAACTTAGGTGCACCATTTCTTATTGGAACCCTCCGTGAAGTCCTGCCTGAAATACTACTTGATGTAAAGCCACCCCCTTTGTTGATTTTTAGCTCCCTGAAGCCAACCCTGTAAGCCATGTCATCAGTCGCCCCTCCCTCCATCAGAGCAACGGCAGACAATCGTTCTGCGCCTTTTTTCTGTGCGGACGCCATACCAAGGCAAGCATGGAGGCCGCTCAGCTCACTTTGGCAATTAGGAGCACATTAAACACCACACGCATTATCCAGCAGTATATGCAGCACCAGAACCTGGTAGAGCAATACCGGGCGAGGAGGCGACGTCAGCGCGGTCACGTGAGTGATCAGGACATGGACACAGGTTTCTCTGAAAGCATGGGCCCTGCCAATGCATGCATCATGGTGCTAATGGGGCAGGTTCATGCTGTGGAACGCCGATTCTGGGCTCGGGAAACAAGCACAGACTGGTGGGACCGCATAGTGTTGCAGGTCTGGGACGATTCCCAGTGGCTGCGAAACTTTCGCATGCGTAAGGGCACTTTCATGGAACTTTGTGACTTGCTTTCCCCTGCTCTGAAGCGCATGTATACCAAGATGAGAGCAGCCCTCACAGTTGAGAAGCGAGTGGCGATAGCCCTGTGGAAGCTTGCAACGCCAGACAGCTACCGGTCAGTTGGGAATCAATTTGGAGTGGGCAAATCTACTGTTGGGGCTGCTGTGATGCAAGTAGCCCACGCAATCAAAGATCTGCTGATATCAAGGGTAGTGACCCTGGGAAATGTGCAGGTCATAGTGGATGGCTTTGCTGCAATGGGATTCCCTAACTGTAGTGGGGCCATAGACAGAACCCATATCCCTATCTTGGCACCGGAGCACCAAGCCGGCGAGTACATAAACCGCAAGGGGTACTTTTCAATAATGCTGCAAGCTCTGGTGGATCACAAGGGACGTTTCACCAACATCAACATGGGATGGCCGGGAAAGGTACATGACACTCGCATCTTCAGGAACTCTGGTCTGTTTCAAAAGCTGCAGGAAGGGACTTTATTCCCAGACCAGAAAATAACTGTTGGGGACGTTGAAATGCCTATAGTTATCCTTGGGGACCCAGCCTACCCCTTAATGCCATGGCTTATGAAGCCATACACAGGCAGCCTGGACAGTAGCTGTTCAACTACAGGCTGAGCAAGTGCAGAATGGTGGTGGAATGTGCATTTGGACATTTAAAGGCGCGCTGGCGCAGTTTACTGACTCGCTTAGACCTCAGCGAAACCAATATTCCCACTGTTATTACTGCTTGCTGTGTGCTCCACAATATCTGTGAGAGTAAGGGGGAGACGTTTATGGTGGGGTGGGAGGTTGAGGAAAATCACCTGGCTGCTGGTTACCGTTTATGGCGGTTAGAAGAGCACAGGAGGGCGCGGTACGCATCAGAGAAGCTTTGAAAACCAGTTTCATGACTGGCCAGGCTACGGTGTGAAAGTTCTCTTTGTTTCTCCTTGATGAAACCCCCCGCCCCTTGGTTCACTCTACTTTCCTGCAAGCTAACCACCCTCCCCTCCTCCCTTTAATCATTGCTTGCAGAGGCAATAAAGTCATTGTTGCTTCACATTCATGCATTCTTTATTCATTCATCATACAAATAGGGAGACGACTACCAAGGTAGCCCAGGAGGGGTGGTGGAGGAGGGAAGGAAAATGCCACACAGCACTTTAAGCACAGCACTTTAAAAGTTTACAACTTTAAAATTTATTGAATGCCAGCCTTCTTTTTTTTGGGCAATCCTCTGTGGCGGAGTGGCTGGTTGGCCAGTGGCCCCCCCACCGCGTTCTTGGGCGTCTGGGTGTGGAGGCTATAGAACTTGGGGAGGAGGGTGGTTGGTTACACAGAGGCTGTAGTGGCAGTCTGCTCCAGCTGCCTTTGCTGCAGCTCAACCATACACTGGAGCATACTGGTTTGGTCCTGCAGCAGCCTCAGCATTGAATCCTGCCTCCTCTCATCATGCTGCCGCCACATTTGAGCTTCAGCCCTCTCTTCAGCCCGCCACTTACTCTCTTCAGCCCGCCACCTCTCCTCACGGTCATTTTGTGCTTTCCTGCACTCTGACATTATTTGCCTCCACGCATTCGTCTGTGCTCTGTCAGTGTGGGAGGACTGCATGAGCTCAGAGAACATTTCATCATGAGTGCGTTTTTTTTCTTTCTAATCTTCACTAGCCTCTGGGAAGGAGAAGATCCTGTGATGATTGAAACACATGCAGCTGGTGGAGGAAAAAAAAGGGACAGCGGTATTTAAAAAGACACATTTTATAAAACAGTGGCTACAGTCTTTCAGGATAAACCTTGCTGTTAACATTACATACATAGCACATGTGCTTTCGTTACAAGGTCGCATTTTGCCTCCCCCCCACCGCATGGCTACCCCCTCAACCCTCCCCCCTCCCCGTGGCTAACAGCAGGGAACATTTCTGTTCAGCCGCACGCAAACAGCTCAGCAGGAATGGGCTCCTCTGAATGTCTCCTGAAGAAAAGCACCCTATTTCAACCAGGAGACCATGAATTATATCTCACTCTCCTGAGGATAACACAGAGAGATAAAGAACGGATGTTGTTTAAACGCCAGCAAACATACACTGCAATGCTTTGTTGTACAATGATTTCCGAGTACGTGTTACTGGCCTGGAGTGGTAAAGTGTCCTACCATGAAGGACGCAATAAGGCTGCCCTCCCCAGAAACCTTTTGCAAAGGCTTTGGGAGTACATCCAGGAGAGCCGCGAATGCCAGGGCAAATTAATCCTTTCACATGCTTGCTTTTAAACCATGTATAGTATTTTAAAAGGTACACTCACCGGAGGTCCCTTCTCCGCCTGCCGGGTCCAGGAGGCAGCCTTGGGTGGGTTCGGGGGATACTGGCTCCAGGTCCAGGGTGAGAAACAGTTCCTGGCTGCCGGGAAAACTGGTTTCTCCGCTTGCTTGCTGTGAGCTATCTACAACCTCATCATCATCTTCTTTGTCCCCAAAACCTGCTTCCGTGTTGTCTCCATCTCCATTGAAGGAGTCAAACAACACGGCTGGGGTAGTGGTGGCTGAACCCCCTAAAATGGCATGCAGCTCATCATAGAAGCGGCATGTTTGGGGCTCTGACCCGGAGCGGCCATTCGCCCCTCTGGTTTTCTGGTAGGCTTGCCTCAGCTCCTTCAGTTTCACGCGGCACTGCTTCGGGTCCCTGTTATGGCCTCTGTCCTTCATGCCCTGGGAGATTTTGACAAAGGTTTTGGCATTTCGAAAACTGGAACGGAGTTCTGATAGCACGGATTCCTCTCCCCATACAGCGATCAGATCCCGTACCTCCCGTTCGGTCCATGCTGGAGCTCTTTTGCGATTTTGGGACTCCATCATGGTCACCTCTGCTGATGAGCTCTGCATGGTCACCTGCAGCTTGCCACGCTGGCCAAACAGGAACTGAGATTCAAAAGTTCACAGTTCTTTTCCTGTCTACCTGGCCAGTGCATCTGAGTTGAGAGTGCTGTCCAGAGCGGTCACAATGGAGCACTCTGGGATAGCTCCCGGAGGCCAATACCGTCTAGTTGTGTCCACAGTACCCCAAATTCGAGCCGGCAAGGCCGATTTAAGCGCTAATCCACTTGTCAGGGGTGGAGTACGGAAATCGATTTTAAGAGCCCTTTAAGTCGAAATAAAGGGCTTCATTGTGTGGACGGGTACAGGTTTACATCGATTTAACGCTGCTAAATTCGACCTAAAGTCCTAGTATAGACCAGGGCTTAGAGATGTCCCAATTTCTCCAAGACTGCTCGGTTGCTGTATGACAAGGATACACCTCTAGCTTAGAACATAGACACAACTCCAGATTTTGCACTGAACAGCATGCTATCTGTAAAATTGGGGGAGTAACACTTGTATACCTTACAAGAGTGTTGTCAGCATGATTTTAGGGCTTGCAGCTAGCTGGGGAGTAAATCTACCCAGCCCTAGACTGCCACACACTAAGGGTCCGATGCACACTAACAGTTTCTTAATGCACTCTGATCTAGTCCTGTTTCAAAGCAGGGTACATCAAAACACACTAGGGTACTGTTAGTGCGTGGCAGCAGGGTCCACATGGCCAGTGAGTACAGGGTAGATTCATGCCCCAGCTTGCCATGGACTAAATGTTTGTGTAGACCAGCACTGAGTTAATATTTTAGACCCTGCTTTGAAAATGGAGAGCACTACAGAAGCACTAAGTAATATTCTTAGAGGTCAACAAATGCTCATGTAAGTTGTGTCTTGTTTTGAGCTGGAGTGGTTGGCTCTTTTGGGACCACTGCATATATTGTTGGCTGGGGAAATTGGATTATTCTAACAAAGACAAGGCAATGTTTTAAAAGTAACTATTGAGACCTGCTGTAGTTGCCTGTAAAAAGACAGAAATTCAGAGTGAGAGACTCAGCCAGAGAGAGGTGGAAATGATAAGCTAGCTTTATTTGTTACCAAAATTATTTGACATCTAACATTGTCAACTGTGTTTCTTATTTTTGAGGTGTAGATGAAATGGTCGATAATTAATGAAGAAACAGTCTTTTGCTCTGAGAGCTGCAGCACAATCTGTGATTTCTGACTCAGGAGATTGAAATCTAGCTAATTTCCTGGGCACTGATCGCAGATCACTATTTTATCTCGGTGGAATATCTCATGGGTTTGTCTGTCACTTCCTTTTGGTTTCTGATGGGTTTATTTCTCTCCTGCCTGGCCATTATTGATCTTTCCCATCAAGTTAGATAAAAGTTGTAAAAAAACAGCAGCCAAGCAAAACTCATTACCACAGAAGCAGCATTGCCAAAATGTGACCCAGCAGCATGTGGGAGCCCCTAGGGGACAATCTCTGATCCCTCCCTGTCCTTCTGTGGACTAAGAGGCAGAGAACATAGGTTGTCTTCACTGCCACTGAACTGCTAGGTGGCCTTCAAGTCACATCATCTCTTTGGGCCTCTGTTTTCCCTGCCACCCTTTTACCTGTCTTGTCTAGTTAGGTTGTACGCTCTGTCTCTCTCACAATGTATTTGTGCAACACCGAAAACAATGGAGCCCTGATCTCAGCTGGGGATTGTAAATGCTACTCTAATCCAAGTAATAACGATCAATTAGGCACCAAAGTAAGCGTCATAATTGGGGCTGATGGGTGCTGAGCCCTGTTGAAAATCTGGCTCCAATTGTGGGTGCTGAGCACTTGGAAATACGTCTCAAAACTGCTTGGAAAATCTGGCCCATAGTGCTTGAAGGGATCTGTTCCATTGCTACTTCTCCATCTGGTCCCACCTTGATCAAGAAAGAGAACATGGTCTGGTCACCGTTAATGCCTAGGGCAGCAGGGAGGTCAGGGCAGGTGGTGTGGCCTTCTCTCAGGTTCTCAGTAGGTGCTCAGAGTCCTGTGGTGACACATGTAATTGGATTACAAAGTACTTAATTCTTTTCTCTGGCCAGTAGCACAAGGACAGTGAAGCTGAGCTGCTAATCCTTCCCCAGCTCCAATTAGGCACTGTGTAATTAGTGAGGGGTGAACAGGGCATGTGGCCACTCCAGAGATCCCATTCTGTGCACATTCCCTCTCGGCAAAATTATAAACAGGGGAACCCAACCCTTACCTACTCTTTTAACAGCTGCCAAAACGTTCCTTCACTCCCCACCCCAACCCCACATCCGCCACAGTGATAAGAGCACCAATCCCTGTGTGAGCTATACATAATGGCAGTCTCCTGATTTCCCCCCAGCCTTTGGAATGCTGAGCCCATGACTCCTACCCACCCTCTTTGCCCCTATCTGTGTGTACAGAAAAAGGAGACACTCCCCCCCCCCCCACCCGGGCTATATAAATGCCAGGGCCAGTGCTGCAAAAGGATCAGAGGTTTGGATAAGTACCACGCCTGAATTCAGATACTGCCCGCACCATACTCTCCAAACCACTTGGGTCTGCAAAACTGGCCTGGCAATCTGTCCATCTTGTGAGATTTCCAGTACTTCCTGCTACTTCATGCTGGAAATACTAGGAGATGGCCTTTTCCTGTCCAGGTATGATCCAGGAAGTGCGGATGCACATGAAAGTTTTTTTTTAAAAAGTGAAATAATAAACGGAAACTTCTGCCACTCCCAGGGTTCTGAATTTCAAGGGTTGCTATGAGTTCTGAAGAGGCATCGGAGAGCCAGCACCCGATAAACCATGCTGAAACTTTAAGGGTTGCAGGGTCCCCGCCACCAGGCTGTATCTGTGCAAGAAGACAAGCAGTGGAGGCAGCCAGTTTCACACCAAGAGAGACAGACAAAACAAACACTAAAAATACATCCCCCATTAGGGCGGAACGTCCTCGCCAGTGGAATTAAAGGAAACACATTTCACTCTTCTGTGTAGCATGGAGATGCAGCACAGACCAGCTACTGAATCTGTGCAGCACCTGAGTGATGCTTTCCCAAGCAGTTAAACAGAGATGAGTAATATCTTCTCGCCCGGCTCCTGACTTGTGTACTCAGGGTAGGGAATCCTCCAAGGCCCGTGTGTCGTTGTGTATGAGAATGGGTGATGGACAGCAGTTCCACACCAATCTCCGCACTAGAGCTGGCCAAAAAACAGGGAGGAAGTTGGCCAAAGATTAAGAATAACCATCAAGGTTATTTTTGTTTTGCCAGTTTTTAAAAGAAACGGTGTTTTCAGTTACTGGACCTTTTTTTGCAAAAATGTTCAGGTTTGGAATTTTTCGTTTGCTCTTCCACCTCCCCTGTTTCCATTTTTGCCACTGCAAAGGGGAAGGAAGAGAGACTGAGGCAAAAGGATCAGCGGAGAAGGACCAAATAAAAAACAACAATGGGTGTTTTTCGATTTCATGGGGGAAAAGACCCTGAAAAATTAAAATTAAAAAATTCCCCACAACAATTTCTGATTTTGAAAAAAGACTAGTGTCCAACTAAAATGTTTAATTCCAGTACCTACTCTGCTCATTTGCCAGGGTCACAAAAGTGATCTTCAGTCCTTTCTACTCCACATCTCTGTCTGGGCCAGATCTTTGGGTAATGTAAAGAGAGTTCAGTGGAGTTACACCAGTTTACACCAGCTGAGGATCTTTCCCAAAGCATCTATTAATTTTCATTGCTTCCAGCACTGGCAGCTAAGAAAGCTATAGGAGAGGGAGCCGGAGTATGTTCTGGATCATTTATCATCTACAGAATGGTTAACTAAGTTCCGTGTGCAGAACCTCGATTACTATGAGGCAGTGCTAGAAAGGAAGGACACAGCTTGACTTTCAGATCCCAGGCTTGGGTACAGGGATAGCACCTAAGAAGCCCTACTTTCACCTTCAAATGGAGCAAAGCTGGCAGGCACCCTCATGAGACAATTACATGGGGCCCACTGTGGGAAAGACCTGGTTTTCCGCGGGTGTTGTAGAAGATGGGCATGAGCTAGTTCACTAAACCGGCCACTTGGTGGCAATGCTATTCCACACACCAGGCTCTCCCCTAGCCCAACAAAAACAGCTGGACTGTGAAATCATTGGGCACCTTGGCACATATGGCACTGGTATATAAGTATCCAGATGTGGGGATGGGCAGTAGCTAAGACTTAGGCCAAAAGCAAAGGTCATTAGATTAGGAGATATCCTGGGTCACTGGGCTGGTTTTAAGTGTGGGCTGACCCAGAGGCTGCATTTCAGGGGGCACCGTGATGCTGGCTGGAATTCAGCTGCAGGAAGGAGCCATCTGGCCTGAAGACCCCATGTGCTGTGAACCCCTCTCAGAATCATGTGCTGCAAGAAGAGGCCAAATGGTCAGCAGACAGGTCCCCTACTCTACCCAGGGGGAAGGAAATGAAAACCAGCAGGCTGCAGGAAAAGAGAGACAGGAGGGGAACTTGGGAAGGGAAAGAGATGGAGGGCTGGGGGGAGAGCCTGAAATATTCTTTAGCCAGGTGTCAGGCCACCTAGGGCTGATTGCATTTGGGAATTTGGTTCCCTTTGTGTGAATATACCATTCTTTCTTTACTGCAGCACCCAGCAATGTACTGGATAAACTCAGAAACACAGCTCTTTCCAGAGAGTAATGAAGATAACTCTGTTTTTCAGGTAACCAGTGGCAACATTACAGCCCCATCCAAATAGCTGCATCATGGCTTCCCCTCCAGAGGCCATCCTACTGCCCACTGCTCATGGTGGGCTGAATCCTGGCTAGAGCTGCAGCTGTGGTGGGTGTTGGTATCCTAGGGGCTGGGCAGGCTGATGGGGTAGCCGAAGGCAAATGCTGTTACTAGCAGTTCAAAACCTGATCCAGTTCTCTCCCTCTGCGTCCCCCACAAAACAAGGAAGAGTTGCACATTGACAGGGCCAGCAGTTCTCTCCCGCTCCGTCTGTGTGCCTGGAGGCATGAATGCAAGGCCACCTACATAGAGCTCTTCCCTGCAGCAGAACTTCTTCCCTTCATGCTCTCCGCCATCTGCTCCTCTCTGACTCCATCCCTCGGGGGCGGGGGGGTGAGAGAAGCAGGGTTAGCCGTTGCTGTTATTTGGCTGGGAGCTCTCGAGGGTAACCTGCGATGCTGAGGAAGTGGGGTTAGATATTCTGCAGAAGCCAGACATCCCCTGGAGGCAGCCGTGGTGCCGTGCTCAGTCATGTTCTGTACTGGTGCATGTGCTACCATTTGGGTGACATGTAACCCCACCGGCCTGCCCAGCTGTGATCATTACAGATGTTATGGCACTCATTGCAAAAGTAGGGACATTAGCTCTGGAGACCTGCTCAGCTTCCAGTTTGGCTAATTACCTTCTGCTGACCTAAATGCTTCCCACAGTTTAAGTGGATACTGCTAGTCATCTTCCCTTCCTTTCCCTCCCCTGGCCGGGGGGGAGGAGGGGCAGTGTGGCTGTGCTGTTAAAGAGCTGCCAGACTTCAGTGACTGGCAAAGTGATTCCTCTCTGTCGACTGCAGTGATTTCTGTTCTAACAGAGCAGTGTTTTACTGTGCTATAATTACACTGTATTTGTTTTCCTTATACAGTGCCCTGGGGCTTTTCATGAGAGTTGGAATATGATGATGATGGAAGAAAAGACTTCATATAAAAATGAGTCACTTACACGGAGTCAGCTTCCAACTCTCTGGAGTTGAGACATGTAAACTAAAGAGCAGGGGGAAAGAATCATTACAGAGAGTGCTAAAGGTCAGTGCTCCCTAGGGACACAAGGTGGGTGGGGCAATATCTTTGATTGGACCAGCTGCTGTTGGTGAGAGAGACAAGCTTTCGAGCTTGCACGGAGCTCTAAGTTTCCCAGACCCGAAGAAACGCTCTGTGTAAGCTCGGAGGCTTGTCTCTTTCAACAATAGAAGTTGGTCCAATCAAAGACATAACCTCATCCTCCTTCTCTCTTGACTATCCTGGGACCGACATGGCTACAATACCGGAGCTATCTAGGAACACATTCTTAACACAATCCAGAGTGAAATCTCTTAACACTGTATAGGAGGTTGGTAATGGTAGAGACACCGTAGCAATATGATGTTAATTCTGACCTCTGCATTGTGTATATGCCTTTCAAAGATCTGGATGTCTTCTTTGGAGAGGCGAGAGACCTGACCCAAGACCCCAGATCTGAACCCCTTTGGGTTTGAAGGGAGATTTGAGTACAGATCCAGTTGTTTCAGCTCTGGGCCATCTCAGCTAGAGACACTAGTTCGGGATTCATGGGAAAGAGTGGATTAACAGGTGACCTTGTGGAAGGAAACACGTTTCTGGGGGAACAGAAAGACTAGTTGTTATGAAACTTCTAGTGCTGATATTAACGGCAAGAACAAAGGGTGCCAGCTAAACCTGGGGACATGTCCTACCCTACAGAATTCCAGGTGGAATTTCTTTACATGGAGCAACTAAAGGGAGACTCTAAGGTATTCAGACCCTTTACTCTCTATATAACCCTTTCAGTCGAATCTATCAGTCACCAACATTGTCCTCAGTATGGCTCTGATCCAAAGCTCCCATTGATTCCAACGGGCTATGAATCAGGCCCCAACTCCATGTAGAATTTGGGGCCTAAATGACTTTGATAGCATCCCGTTAGTATAAGGAGTAGACTCACCATGGCAACAACATGGAAAACACCTGTAAAGAATTTACAAAGGAATCAGACAAATGAAATAGCCCTGGGGTGAGATCCTGGTTCCACCCAAGTCAATGGGAGTTTTGCAATCTCTTCAGCTGCTGAGGAAATGGACTTTTGGTGCTTGCCTCTCTTCACTGTCCATAATTCCCTATCTCGGAATCACAGACAGAAAATAGATTCTTCATCCAGACTCATCCTCTACAGCCAGCTTGTGTCTTATGATTTTTACCATTTTAAATATTTGCATTGTGGGAACACCTAGACGCTCCGGCGATCAGAGGCTCCGGCTGAGATCAGAGGCTGCACAGACACATTGACAAGCCATTTTCTGCCTCAAAGCGCTAACAATCCAAACCAACAAGACAGACTGAAGGGTGTGGGAAGGAAGTGTTGTTATTCCCTACAATAGACTGAGCTAAGATTTTGTCTAGTCTAGTTTTCAGTGTCTCGGGCTCTCCGGAGAGGACATTTGACACCACCAGCCTGTTCTCTTTAAGCCTGTCACAGTTCTTCAGCATGTCTCATCTCCACAAATGCATGCCCAGGAAACCCCTTTATTGTGTTTGCTTTAATTGGCTTTACTTGGCAACTGCTGTCAGTGAAATATTTCAGTAACAGATTCTGCTCTTAATTACATAAAGGTAAATCCAGAGTGACTCCACGGGGTGGATGATATTCATGTCAAGGGAGTAACACCAGATTTACACCAGTGTAATTGACAGCAGAATTTGGCCCATTTGCAGGACTTACCTTTCACTGCTTGTCTGCAAAAGTAGTAATTGTCTCTGAAGAAAGCTGGCAGGTAAGTTAAGCCAGACCCTGGTTTCATGAGTCTGTGGTGTCTCCCTCTAATCAAATTCTGCTTCTCAAGGCAGTTCACCTCATGAAATGCAGCAAAAATGACATCTAATATTGTAGTTTTCACACACTCCATTGTCACACTTACGGCTCTAATTGCTTTCCGGCCCTGCAGTCTTTTTTGTGATTAATTCTGTTGGGTTTGCAACTTTCCAACCGAGCAGAGTATGACCTGGGCTTTCCCAAAAAATCATTCAGTTTGCCAGAACCAGATGCCACAGACACATGGGGGTTCCAGCTAGACAAGTGCCAGACCACTGGGGTATCTGCTAGAGCACGGGTGGGCAAACTATGGTCCATGGTCCAGATCCGGCCCCTCAGGGCTTTGGAACTGGCCCATGGGATTGCCATCCTCGTGGTGCTGCGGGCCCTGCGCTGCTCCCAGAAGCGGCCGGCACCACGTCCCTGCAGCCCCTGTGGGGGCAGAGGGCTCCGTGTGCTGTCCTTGCCTTGGAGTTCCCCATTTCCGGCCAATGGGAGCTTCAGGGGAGGTACCCACAGGCAAGGGCAATGCACGGAGCCCTTTGCCCCCTCTCCCTCAGGGGCCTCAGGGATGTGGTGCTGGCCACTTCTGGGAGCAGCAGGGGGCCAGGGCCAGGGCATGCAGGTAGGGAGCCTGCCCTGGCCCCGGTGCACACTGCTGCCACCATGGAACCGGTAAGTGGCGCCAGGCCAGAGCCCAAACCCCTCCTGCACCCCACACCCCAAATCCCTGCCCTGAGCCCCCTGCCTGCACCCCAACCCCCTGCTGCACTCCACACCCCTCCTGCGCCCAAGCCCCCTGCTGCACCCCGTATCTCTCCTGTGCCCCAACCCCCTTCCCTGAGCCCCCTGCTGCACCACACACCCTTCCCTGTACCCCAATCCCCTGCCCTGAGCCCCCTGCTGCACCATGCATCCTTCCCTGTACCCCAACCCCCTTTCCTGAGCTCCCTCATACACCCCACACTCCTCCTCTGCCCCAACCCTTTGCCCTGAGCCCCTTCCTGCACACCGCACCTCCTCCCATACCCCGCACTCCCTCCCGCACCCCAACTCCCTGCCCCAGCCCTACATTCATGGCTCTGCATGCAATTTCCTCACCCAGATGTGGCCCTTGGGCCAAAAAGTTTGCCGACCCCTGCGCTAGATAGATGTCAGAGATGCAGGAGGGTACCATGGATAGTGCATGGTTTTGTGTGCAGAGCAAGACTTGGCAGAGGTGTGGCTTCACTGCTATTTTTAGTCACGCTTGCTAGATCAAAGCTAGTTCGGGTATGTCTACAGGTGCTGCAACTCACTTCCTGACTGCTATGTAGACATACCCTAAGTCTCACCAGTATCAGTCAGGAAACTCCGCTGAAGTCAGTGATGGGCGAATCAGGCCCAAGTTGTCCCAAGAGCATCTCAGTACACAGGGAGTGGGATGGAAGAGGCTGTATGTTGCATGGGCTTGGTCTCCCTCCCTGATCTCCTGAATGGGGCCCAGTGCATGGAGAAGAAGAGGCTGCCCAACATCCATGTAGATCCTGGCATGTCCACGGAGGGATTTACCTGTGAGGGTGGCCCGGGTTGTCAGGCCAGCATTCCGTGGCACCAGCACCTCGTGGTACTGCTCGCCTGCTAGTGTGCTGTACACCACCCTATAGTTCTGCACCTCCGCCTCACTGTTGTCCCACTCCAGTGCCAGGCTGGCCAACGTTCGCAAGCCCACCCGGAGGTTCTTGGGTGCATCGATCTCTATACAAGATAAGAAAACAAATGCAGTTCAATCTGCGAGAATTGCCCCCATCTGCAGCTGAGGAAATGCTTTCATGTGTTGGCAAGGAATCCAAGCTGTGTTATTGTGAGACCATGGTATTCTACCACCCCAGACGCTAACCGCGATCTAACCTGCATGGAGTCGCACTTGCTGAGCTGTCTCTGTGGTAGCTCAGCCCCTTAGATTAATTAATAGATTTTAAGGTCAGAAGGCTCTAATGTGATCATCTAGTCTGGCCTGCTGCACAGCACAGGCCAGTGAATGGAGATGGACAGTAGAGCATTTCTTTTGTAAAAAGACACCCAATTTTGATTGAAAGATTTCAGGTGAGGGCGAATGCACCAAGTCTCTCAGTAAATTGTTCCAATGATGAATTACCCTTGCTGTTTTTTTTAAAAAAAGCATGATGAAATTGAATCCACCCAATACCGCAACGAGGTAAGGAATTATTATTATTATTATTCCCATTTTACAGGTGGGGAAACCGAGGCACAGTAAGTCAAGAAGTCTATGGCAAAGGCAAGATTTGAACCCAGGACTCCTCCTGAGTGCCTTAGCCGCAAGATCTCATGCCTTATCACAGACTCATACGCAGGTAAATCCCGCCTTGATAGCATGCCTTGTTGTTTAGCACTGCTACATATTACTGTACATATTGTACCAAATTCTGACCTCATTTATATTCATGCAACCCTACTCTGATCAACAGGATTACACAGGTATAGCTTAGGGCAGGATTTGGCCATTTTATATCCAGGGTATAACTCCTTTTTGGTTCACAGGTAAAATTATACTCAGTAACCCCATCTAACTATATATTTTTGTTCATTTGTTTTTGGAGGGATTTTTTGATCATAACAACTCATAGAGATAATACAAGGAAAGGCAAATTCAGCAAATTGATAGCACTGTACATCTCATTCTAAGTATATACAGTAGAGACACTACAGTTACTGTCATAGAAGCACTGGTATCCGCTGATAATATATTTGACAGGTAATTTATAAACCATAAAATAGCACTGAAATATGCTCTCTAGCTTCTCCTTTATGGCACGGTAAATTAAACCTGTTAGCTATCCACAGGCTTAGCATTAATTAAAGTTTTACTGACCGGTTAGAGCATTCATATAAAGTATCAAAATAAGATAACCACATTTTTAACTGTGTCACTTTCAGTTGCTTGATGGCAGATTGTCTCAGGTGGCACCCCCCATCTCCTCTCTCTCAATTTGAATAACTATAGATGGGGCCATTTTTTTAAAAAAATGGGTACCTAAAGTTAGGCTCCTAACTCCTCCTTTAGGCATCCAAAGAAGTGCCCTGATTTTCTAAAGTACTGAGCTTCTAGTAGCTTAGTGCTTTTGAAAAATCAGGCAACTTATTTAGGTTCTTAAATATGGATTTAGGAGTCTAATTTCCATTTTTGCAAATCTTCGTTATGGGCTCAGACTAATCTGAAGATCTGAATGTTCTTTGAACTTGCAGGGGCTGGCTCCTATCCCTATAATAATCGAAACCCATGCCTTTGTGATGTGCTTACATACTACGGGGATGGGGTTGTACTAAAACATAGGTCTAAACTTTGGGAAAATGCAGCTCTGGATCCAGGTGCACGACGTACAGTCATAGAAATTAATTCCTGTACCTTGTTGCATCTTGCAGCAAATCAGTATGCCTGGGTTACAAAGCATTATCTCAATGCAACACTTACTGGGCAAAAATCAGCATAGCTCCACTGACTTCAATGGAACTACACTGATTTATACCAGCTGAGAATCTAAACCATTGTATTACACTGCAGATTTAGGATTTTTTTCTCCTGCCAAATACATATTGCAAATAGGACAGGCAAACAGATTCTGTAGATAGAAAGAGAGACAAGTATATACTGTAAAATTCCGATAGATGGGTATATACTGTAGAGGGAAACATACAGAGATACCGTACAGATCTGTCAGAGTAGAAAAATCCTTCACCCAAGAAGTATTTACCCTGATGCTATGCAGAATCAGAGATTATGCAGTGAGTCAGAGAGTCACAGTACAGTCGGCTTATATCTAAGGTTGTCATAAAACAGGGTCTCCTGGAGCTCAGTGATGTTGGTTCAGCGGTGTGCATACAGGCAGCAGATGGCAGTGGAGGAGTGAGACGTTGTGTCTGGTCACTGCTCTAGTGAGAGGAGAAGACACTGGGTGTGACCCTGAAGGAAAGAGGCTCTACTCCGGTTATGAGTAGAGGAAGTGCGTTTAGTGTGGCAGCGTCTGTCTGGCAGTCCATTGTATTAAAGCCTGTTGCCTACTCAGTCTGTCAGTCCATGAACTGGCCAGCTAGCTGGGTGTGTCTGAGTCTGTCAGTCAGTGTGTTGGCCTGTTTGGGGTGTGTGTGGGGGGCAGTCAGGCAGAAGGCCCTGATAAGTCTGTCAGAAAGGGAATCCATCTATTTGTCAGGGCAGCTGGGTCTCAGCCTGTTCGTCACTGATTCAAGTCAGTCTGTTAGTCAGTCATCCAGTGAATCGACCTGTTTGTTGTGTGGGTCTCTCGATGGCTGGCCATGTAGTGGACTAGACTCTAGCCAGATGGCTTTTAAATGCAACCGATGTACCTGTTGTGAAGGTGGTGACAGCAGGGTCGCTCTCGTTGGTCCCTCGGACCCCGGAGATGGAGACTTCGTACTGTGAGCCGGGCCTCAGGGCCTGCATTGAGTACTGGCTCAGGGGAGGCTGCAGTCGGAACATGGTCTTCCCCCCTTCCCCATTTGTGAGGCCGTACTTCAGCAGGATGTAGTCTACTTTAGCTCGGGGTGGGGTCCACTCCACGAAGGCCACTGTGTCCGAGACATCTCGCACCAGGATTTGGGTTGGCCCATCAATTACTGGACACCAAAGAAGCATGTTAGTTGTGAGTTAAACACAGACAGAAAATATGTAAATTGCATGGCATCCGGCCCTGGGGAAAGAAAGGACTCAGTCTTGCTACATCTGATATTTGAAGTGGCCCATCACCACTTTAACTTAGTATCCAGGCAATAGCAGGAGGAAAAGAACTAATGTGAGTTGTGACCCAAGATCCCAGCTCACGGTCAATGGATTAGAGATAGGCCTCCAGGCTATGCCATACTGGTTAGATGAGTTGTTTGTGGCTGCCAAGCAATAGGATGTAGGGGAAGGGGTCTGTTAAAGGGTGGATGGATCTGAATAGATTCTTGGGTTTGGTTCAGGTTTAGGGTGTTCATGGGAACCTTCTTCTGATATGCCAAGATTCATATGGAGTGGGACTACACCAAGAAGAGTAAGCCATTCATCATAGATTCCAAGGCCAGAAGGGACCATTGTGATCATCTAGTCTGGCCTCCTATATAGCATAGGCCAGAGAACTTCTCTGAATCAATTCCTGTCTGAACTAAAGCAGATCTTTTAGAAAAACATCCTAACTTGATTGAAAAATTTCCAGAGATGGAGAGCCCACCACAACTCCCAGTAAGTTGTTCTAAATCTTAATTGCCCTCACTGTTAAAAAATTGTGCCTCATTTCTAGTCTGAATTTGTCTAGCTTCAACATCTAGCCATTCTGTCTTGTCGTACCTTTTTCTGCTAGACTGAAGAGTTCTGTTCCCCATGTCAGTTATTATAGACCAGGGATCTCAAACTCAAATCACCACGAGGGCCACATGAGGACTAGTACATTGGCCCAAGGGCCGCATCACTGACAACCACCCCCGCCCCCCGCTGCCACCGGTCCTGCCCCCACTCCACCCCTTTCATGAGTCCCCACCCCATTCCAACCCCTTCCCCAAAGTCCCCACCCAACTCTACCCCCTCCCAGCCCCTCTTCCAGCACCTTCCCCAAATCCCTGCTTCTTCTCCGCCTCCTTCCCTGAGCGCACGGCTCCCCACTCCTTCCCCCTCTCTCCTGGAACATGCTAAGCACCGCCAAACAGCTGTTTGGCGGCGGGAAGCACCTGGAGGTAGGCAGAGGAGCGGGAACACAGTGCGCTGGCAGGGGAGGGGGGGTGGCGGATGAGGGGAGCTTGGCTGCCACAGGAAATAACTCAGGGCGGGGAGCTTGGCGGGCCACAGTAAATAACTCCGTGGGCCACCTGCGGGCTGCATGTTTGAGACCCCTGTTATAGACTGTGATCAAGTCACCCCTTAACCTTCTCTTTGTTAAACTAAACAGATTCAATGCCTGTGCAGTCTTTCACTATAAGGCATGTTTTCCAGACCTCTAATCATCCTCATAGCTCTTCTCTGAACCTTCTTCAATTTATCAGCATCCTTCTTGAATTGTGAACTCAAGAACTGGACAGTGTTCCAGCAGTGGTCACACCCATGCCAAATACAGAGAAAATATCATCTCCCTACTCCTACACAATATTCCCCCGTTTCTACATCCAAGGATCATATTAGCCCCTTTGGCCAACAGCATTGCATGGGAAGCTCATGTTCAGCTGATTATCCATGATCACCACCAAGTTCTTTTCAGAGTTGCTGCTTTCCAGGATAGAGTCCCCCATTCTGTAAGTAAAGCCTGCATTATTTATTCTTAGACATATGACCTTACATTTGGTCATATTAAAATCTGTATTGTTTAAGATCCAGATTGCTTTGTATCAATGACCTCTTCTCTTCATTATTTACTACTTCCCCTATCTTTGTGTCATCTGTAACCTTTACCAGTGATGACTTTATGTTTTCTTCCAGGTCTTTGATAAAAATGTTAAATAGCCTAGGGCCAAGGACTGATCCCTGCAGGACCCTTCTAGAAACATCCAGGCTTAATGATAATTCCCCATTTACAATTACATTTTGACATGTGTCAGCCAATTTTTAATAAACTGTGGATTTCCAGTGTGCTGAAAATATGAGAAGAGTTGAGAAAACAACTAGCACTTTCAAGAGACTTTTCAAAACTTGACATTAGTTACAATATCCCAGAAGTTCTACCCATCCTTTACAAAAGAGAGAGGAGTTGTAGCCAGATCTCTAGATCTTGGAATAATTGCACTCAGACTCACAAGAAAGCAGCAATACCCCTTGGGATTTCCATTGCTCCCTGTTTGATCTGGAAATCCCACAAGGTTGTGTTGACATTTCTACTTCCTCTCTTAGAAGAAATCCAGAAGTGCAGGGACCACAAGGAAATAAAAAATAATCTAAAGAAAAAAGTTACATGGTGAAAAGTTTGGGTTCAAATTCTGGGTTGATGCTGTTTGATTCTAACTGCTTTGCCTGTCTGTAGGTATTGTAATGACACACAATCTGTCAAGCATCTGTGTATTGGCCACGTGCTGTAGCAGCATTAAAATGCAGCGCCTGCTGCACAGCCAATTCTGAGACTTATTTTCTACCTGGGGATCTGAGATCTGTAACTCAGGTTCATACTGTATGGGGGCTTGCTTGCTTGTTTGTTTTACTAGTGACAGCCTAAATTGTATTCTGTAACTAGTACTAAATGCCCTGGTCTTGTAAGCTAGGGTTTAGGTAGTGCAAAGCAAAAATGTTATTTTTTTAAAGTGCATTTTGTATGTTGGACAGGTTTCACTGGATAATAAACATATACTGAATATCTAGATCTCCAGAGGGGGCTGAATGTTGAGGTGATCTAAGAGGTTTCTAAACACACAGTTAGTCTGAAATAGCTCTTCTTGATTAACTCCAGATGTGGATGCTCTTATTCCAGAATAGAGAACCTTATTCTAAATTAGTTTAGTGGATTAAGATTGTAGGTGTTGTATTAATGGAGCATGAATACAATGCCTACAAGTCCTGCATGGTTTGCTGCTCAGGTGGATAGACTAATTAGTTGCTTAAAAAATCACAAGTTTTCAGCTGGGGAAACTGGTGGTGCTACTGCAGAACATGCTGAGCTTGCATTTTTGGCTTGGATTTTCAAAGCTGCCTAAGGGGTTAGGTTCCCAAACCTCAATGAAATTCAATGGGATCTGGGCACCTATTTCCCTTATGCACCTTTGAAAATACCAGCCTCTGTGTGAACATTTAACATGGGAGTATTAATGGACTGTAACCCAAACATCAGGCTGTCCCAAATCTGGTGAATTCCTTGTGACCAGAGCTGGGCAAAACTTCAGGGAAGAAAGTTTAAACTCATTGGCAAAGGTGTAGAGGTTCCAGCCACACCAACTGGGGTCTCTCAAGGGTTGGTGTGCCTGGACTGCACAATGGCTTTGGGTGGAAAATCCTGTTTCTGCTCAAAACAAGAAAAGTTTTGGCTGTTTCAGCTGATCTTTACGCTGAGATTTTGGGTTCATTACAAATTAAAATCAAACGGATCTGGTTCTACCCTCCCATAACCAAAACAGAACAGAAAGGCTTGCATTAGAGATGGTGAACCAAATCTCCAGATTCAAAAATCTCTGGAGCTTTAGGAGCAGTCATATCCAGATCCAGACTCTGTGGCTGACCCCTCTCTGTATAATGGGCCAAGCCAAACCAATCCACCAGATCTAAACCCCCACATGCTGGGAAAGCTGGGATCCAGCAGTTTGAACCCATCTCTTTGCAGTTGGAGCCTATCAAGAACCACACTTTGCTGAGTTAGAGGCGAGATCATGGGGTGAAATTCTATGGCTTGTGTTTTTCAGGTGGTCAGGCTAGATGATTGCAATGATCCCTTCTGGCCGGAAGATTTATGAATCTTTAATCTACTTTGCACAATCCCTTATGAACTGAAAGCACTGTGAGTTTGAGGCTGCTCTATGTGCAATAGCTGCACTCCTTAGGGGAATGGAAACATTTAGTCATGACCAGTAGGTGTCTCTGTTAAGCCACATTATGCAAGCAGCTGCTAAACACACAAACAAAGCAATAGGAAAGGATTTGTGTTTGTTTGCAGAGATCAGGTAGACTAACATCTGCAGCAAGATGCTAGATTCTCTCCTCTAATGTTAGAAAGACTCTCCTGTGCTGACTGTAGAGACCTCTCTGTTATATTGTGCTTTTTAGGATAATTTTCCTAGGAGCCCTTCAGTCTCCAGCTCCATTAAAGCCCTAATTAGCAACCTCATGAGAACACATCTCTATGTAACCTTCACAGAGCTGTTTAAATGTGTGTTTCTGTTTGTAAATGGTGTGGCTGGAGGGAGCTATCTGACTGTCTTGCAAGGATTCAGAGTGAGAACTTAGATATGTGCTTTGCCCAGTGTTACCTTTGACTCAGCAATGAAAGGGTTAATTAGCTCCTGGTGTACACACCTGGAGACTCTAATCTGACTGACTGCAGGAGAAAGTGATCGGCTTGTGGCTAGCATAAAAAATTGGCTCTGAAGAGACCTGAGTCCATCAGTGTGAAGCTGGGAATGATGATTATCTGTTCTGTTCATTTCCTCTGGGGCACCGGGCATTGGCCACTATTGGAAGACAAGATCGAGTGCTAGATGGACCTTTGGTCTGACCCAATATGGCTGTTCTTACATTCTTGAGGGCCCTCAGCACCTCCCAGGATTTGGACCTTAACCTGTTATCTGGGTGTGCTGGGGGACTACTTGGTACAAGCGCTTCTGTGGAACAGGGAACACTCAGTCTCCAACTTCAGAAATGTGCCTAATGTGAAATCACTAGAGGTGGGAAATTTACTTGGACAGAAAAATAATTGAACTGAGCCTTCACTTAGAACCCAAACTGGTCCTTGTTTGAGCTCAGTTAATGTTTCTCCATGCTTTCCCTGCACGAGAATCAGGCCAGGAGTGGGGGGAATTGTATCTATCTCGAGGCGGATAGCTACCCCAGTCTGTAAGTTTGTTCCTAGATGAGTCCTGGAGCTTTGAGCCCAGGAACTACAATTCCCAGGATGTACTGGGGAGTGTGGGGGAGAGAGGAGAAGGAACGGAAGAATGTGAGCTATATGCAACAGTGAGAGGAATTAATTTTCCCTTTGCTATTATCAAGCTCACTGAATCTTCCTCAAAGGGATTTAGGTACAAAAGAAGTGTCAAAATACTGTGAGAAGGGCTGTTCTTGTGGTGCTTCTGCACCCAGTTTGCAGCCCAGATGGAATTAGATCGTTCAGATAAACCCCAGATTTCAGGGCATTTGTTTAACCCAAATCATCATTCAGTTTAGAAGTTCATCAGTCTTTAGTGTGTCTTTGAGACTGAAATTGTGCAGCTCAGTCAGGTGTTATTATCATAACTGGGTCTGTGCCACAGAATTTGCGTTTGTGTCTGACTTTCCCCCAAGCTCAAAGTGGGAGGATTTGGTTCTGATGTTCCAGGCCAGAGCTGTCTCCTAATTATTTCTTTCCTTGCAGAAATGATGTAGACCGAAGTAATCCCTGGTGTAAGTCAATGGCATTACTCAATGGGTGAATTTGCCCTCTGAGTTTATCTAGCAGAGAGTAAATTCAGTGTTGCAAGTTACCCTCAATAAAGAACCCTCAGAACCCTCACCTGAGCCTCCAAGCAAAGCCAAACCTGCGTCTTTTCAGGGGTTAAAAACATTTCAGTTTTAAGTCAATGGAGCTACACTGATTTACACCAGCTGGGGATTTGGCCCATTGTTTGAATGTCTTGTTGGTGAAAGGTGCATGAACAAAACCCTGGAGACTGGATTCTTCTTGTAACCCAGGGAACTAGTACAACATTGGCAGCAGAAATGTAAACTACCCCACATCCATCCATCGATGTGCCCTGCCATGCTCTGGTGGGACAATCTCTAACTGTGAGAGGGGAGTTCAGTCTCCATGGCTATTCATTCCTTGGTTCCTCTGCTGAAACTGCCAATTAATGCCAATTGTGGTGGTGTTTTCTGTGATATGAACGCACATCTGCTGGGATCTGTATTGAGACCAGCACCTCATTTCACTTGGCCCAGATGATCCCCACCATCTGGTGATACCAGCCTTCAGCCTCCGCCGAACTGGATTATATCTGACCTGCTGACCTGGAGGTGAAAGGACAGCTATACAACACTGGGACCATGCCCTGTTCTGGGTCTGGAAAGACAGAGCATGCCTGAGGGCTAAAGGATGGAGTCACTCACAGGTGGAGATGCTGTCGGAGGTAGGGGGGCTCCTGGCTTGCTCCTTGAGGGCTACCACATTGACGATGTATTCTTCCCCAGGCTTCAGTCCTGTCTGGTTGAAGGTGGTGACACTGCTAGGAAGCTGTGCGATGACGCCACCTTCATTGTTCTAGGGAGATTAAAAAAGAAATCTGCACAGAAAGTTGGGGAGGGAGGTGTCTGGAACTGGTAACGTATTAAAAGGATGCAGCAGTAGTTGGAGAAAATAATGGGGTGCCAGGTCAACTTGGCCCCAAATATAGAGCATCACTGGGGATAATGTACCCACCTGGGGAAAACTTACATACTCTCTGCATGTCTATTTCATAAGTGACCCTTATTCACAGTGGTGAGATCTTACTCATTCAGTTATTCCCATTGTTTACAATGGGCCTGCAGGTCTGTTAAGTGCTCATAAATGTGCATAAGGGCTGTACGGTCCGTCCAAAAGATATTACATGCCTCAGGATGGGTCGACTCTTTTGCCAAGGGTCCCAATACCCCCTCGCAGCCAGCAGTGGCTCACAGAGTCAGATGCATCTCATGCCGTTCACCCCTCAGTTGTTGCTTCCAGATGGCTCGTAGGCAGACAGCATTTTTCTCAATCCCTGTTTTTAACTAGTGTGCGTGTTCAAGCTGGTAGAGTGACTCCATAGGAGAACAGTCAGTGAAAAAGGTCCGGGATTCACTCCTCTCTCTTTGTGGCACTTCTTGGCTGCCTGGAGTATCCTGTGGTTTATATATAGCTGTGAAACTGCAAGGCCTTTGTTTTTGGCACACAATACTTTTGAAGTATCTCTATTAAGTCTTTATACTCCAAGTATTTCCTCTGGAAAACATAAGTCTTTAAGCAGCTGCAAATGTCACCTTTCCTGACAGTGTTAGCCAAATAAAACTTTTCTTGTCATTGTCTTCACTAATAACATACTAAGCAAACCTTTGCACATAGATTTCCATTCGCATTCTTCCTTTTGCTCATTAAACTAGAAATCTTCCACTTTGTCCCTAAATTGCCATTTTAGCTTTTCTAATATTCTTTTCTCTTTTTTAACCTCTTTGTGGCTTTGTCATTTTCTCTGAGTTCTATTGCTTTGCAGAGCCGTTCCCGCTATTGCTGCAAATCTCATTGTGTTTTTTCCTTTCGCACAGAGCCACCATATATTTGCCATCTGAAATCACTTTTATTTTATATTATGGAGCAACAGCAACAAAAAAGACCAGAATTAAAGTCCCCTTAGATCCCCAGTGCTCTTGTATCTCTATAGCAGTCTGCAGAGATTGTGAGAACAAACGAGTTGTTGTCTCACGCAGAGTTCTTAGAAATATGACGGTACAGTGCACAGAAAGAAGTAGTATCCTACTTTCATAGCCCACATAAACCACAGCTTTAATGTCAATGTGATATTATTGCTGTAGCATATATTTACTTTTCACTCTTGATTTTGTTTGTTTAATGTTTGCATTTCTTTCCCTAAACAATGAAAATAGCTGGTCAGTTTCATTTTAGTTATAGTCAGTGTCTAGTCCCTTTTCACTGTCAGGGTTTTAGAATGGCAGTGCAATGCTGTGATGTTTTTTGGAGGGAAATATTGTATCTGGAATGTTTTAAAATACCTTGGAAATGTTTCTGTTGGTCTTAGGATTTTAAGAATTTAGTTTTACAAATTTTAAAGTTGGGATACATTTGACCTGAAAAGTTCACTTGAAATTTACAGATAATGCATTTAGGCTGAGATTTTCAAAGCCACTGGAGGGACTTACCTGCCTTTATTAATCACACACCGCAGCATGATTAAAAGCTATATTTTTATTTCTCCTATCATGTAGTGTACCACTGTTTATAAAATTCAGGTACCTCACAAACTTTTTCTACTGTACCTGTCCTGTTCCATTCCAAGGTGTTACTTAATTGTTCCTGTACCTACTTGGGAAAATTAAACTGCATTTGTAATGGGGACTAAGATCTAATAGGAAAATGGTGGCCAGTGGTTTGTCTCTCTTGTGCAGGCCGAAATAAAAGTGTCACAAATTGCATTGCATCGTGACATCATTATGCTTGGGGCTCCACCTCACGATGTCAAGTTAAGGCAGGACTACTTGTGGCATTGAGCCTGGATTCATTGTGACCCTGCACTGTCATGTCTGAGACAAACAAGGGACTATTTCCTTGGGTCATGGGACAGAGTCATGAACATTAGGACTGTGCAGTGACTCTAGGGAGCGATGATGATCTTCACAAAGAAATCGGGTGAGATAGCCAAGTGCACTTCTGAGACTCCGCTTCCCCATCTTGAAATGGATATCCTAGCATTCATGTCAATCCTTATGTTGTGAGGATTGATTCACTAGTGTTTGTACAATGTTTTAAAGATGTGCTAGTTTAGTTCACTTATGGCTCTGGTAGTGTTTCCATTAGAATTTCTTATTTTTTAGTGGCTTATCCTGATTTTGAATGAAAATTACCTCTGGGCTTATAAATGCAATTCATGAACTGCAACTCATAAGAGAATTTTGCTTTTGTGTGTGTGTGTGTGTATACACATATACAATTACAAAAATATCCCTCCGGCCCTTTTGGAAACCAAAGTTAGAAACCAAAGTTGTTTTTGTCAATTTCTGCTCATCTGGATTTTGTTTTTGTACTGGTTCTGATGGTATATTTTCATTTATTTCACAGAACCCTTGTTTACTTCAGTGGGAGTTTTTCCTGAGTCAAGGCAATATAATTGGACTCTTCATCCACATTTTTTTTATTGTAAGATGTGTAGGATACACTTGTAGAGAGGTGCCAGATACAAGTTGAGCTGTAGTTCTATACAAGTGGTACAATAACTGAGAATAAATATTAAATATAGCATCAGTGACAACTTTATTGTTGTTTTGTCTATGCAGATAAAATGTTTAAAATTTAGGGCAACAGTTTCAGCCTTCAACTTTCATTTTTGCAAGCACAAATTGTACCTGTTCTATAATTGTGGTTACAATTTTGCAGCGGAATTATTTGTAATTGTGATTTAGGCTGCTTGGAGTCTGAGAGCTACTAAGTGCTCAATACTTCTGAAAATCAGGCCACATATTTGGGTGGCTAAAAATGGATTTAGGTGCCTAGCTTTAGACACCCAAGCAGGTTTCTATCATGGATTTTTAGAGATGGTGATCAAATGCCTCATTTTCACACTGATAAGTTAGAACAGATGAATCAATTGCTGAATTGTTCAGAAAAGTCTGATCAAAGTCAGGGCAAGAAGGTGGGAGAAAGAAAATAGAATGGAGAAGGGAAAGAGAGAAAGGTATGTGAAAGGAGATGGAGGGAGAGAGTAAGGGAAGAGAGCAAGAGGACAGATAGAGGAAGAGAGGGAAGGAGAGCTAGAGGACCCATTTGTTTATATGATAAATGTAGGATCTTTTTCATGGAATTCCCTCTATAGGAATGCATGTCCTGATACCTAGAATCCATGGAAAATAGTGTTCAGTGCAGAGCTGAGATTAATTGATCCAGATTATGACCTGGTGTTTTAGTGCTTTGTTTTGGCATGGGTGGGCAGGGGGCAGAGTAGGGGTATCATTCAGATGGTGTTTACCTAGCCCTGCACCATGCCCTGTTCTGTGTGTAAAAAGAAAAGGAGTACTTGTGGCACCTTAGAGACTAACCAATTTATTTGAGCATGAGCTTTCGTGAGCTACAGCTCACTTCAAGTGAGCTGTAGCTCACGAAAGCTCATGCTCAAATAAATTGGTTAGTCTCTAAGGTGCCACAAGTACTCCTTTTCTTTTTGCGAATACAGACTAACACGGCTGTTCCTCTGAAACCTGTTCTGTGTGTGTGACTGCTCCTTTAAACGGGGACCTAGTATTGTAACTATGCCACAGAGCTGACTTTGGGTGGCCAGCAGTGGCAGGGCAGGGCAGAGGCGGTCCCCGTTGTTGTTACCTTGGGGATGAAGCTTATCTCCCAGCCATCAAAAGAGAAAGAGAAGGGCTCCCACTGCACCTCCACGGTGGTCTCTGTGATCGTCTTGAACTGCAGCCCTTTTGGAGTGGAGAGATCTGAAATGCAGCAATGCGGATCACATTAGCTAGGCTGTGGCCCTGTTCCTGCTTTAATGACACAGCTCCCCACAGCGTGAGACACAGGACACCCTACATCCCTGACAGCTCTGTTCTCCTTTGACTATGCCCATCTAGGTTAGTCAGGTTGGGTAAACCTGACTGCTAGTGTCAAGGGGGGTGTCATGAAGTAGGTACTGACAGTTGGTTGGCAGTTTTCTGTTGGAATGAGTTTCCAGTGGAAAATGCCCTTTTTTCCCCTTCAAAATCAAACTTTTTTGTGGGAGAAAAGCACTGCTGAAAGTGAAAAAGGGGCAATTTTAATGCTTTTAATGAGCCATCATCACACCCAGATAAATTTTGAATAGCATCATGGATATTATCAAGGCCACATGTGTAATATGGCTGTGTTAGAGAGGAAGAATGTTCCAGTGGATAGGGTGCTTGCCTGGAATTTGGGAGATCTAGGTTCAGTGTTTTGCTCTGACACAGATTCCCTCTGTGACCTTGGCCAAGTCACTTAGTCTCTCTGTGCCTCAGTTCCCCATCTGTACAATGGGAAAATGAAGATAATGCTATGTGTCCTTTCCTAATTCACAGGGCTGCTGTGAGGAGAAACACACTGAAGATTGTGAGGGGCTCAGATATTATGGTAGTAAAGGCCATAGAAGTACCTCAAATAGCTAAAGCTGTGTAAGGAAGGGCCTTATGTAGGAGGTTGAGAGGGGGCAGTGCTTCAGGGGATAAGTTTGGATAAGCTTTTGAGAATTAAGAACATAAGAATGGCCACGGTGGTCAGACCAATATCTAGCCCAGTATTCTGTCTTCTGACAGTGGCTGATACCAAATGCTTCAGAGGGAATGAACAGAACAGGGCAATTATTGAGTGATCCATCCCGTCGTCCAGTCCCAGCTTCTGGCAGGTGGAGGTTTAGGGACATTCAGAGCATGGGGTTGCATCCCTGACCATCCTGGCTAATAGTCCTTGATGGACCCATCCTCCATGAATTGTAGGAGTGTACTCAGAATAAATCTGAACTCCTGACATTCGCTTCTCATTATTCAATCCTAGAGATGGCCTGAACCAAAATCATGGACCAGCCGTTGGGGATCTAGATGTGATTTTTTGATGCTCAGGTCCATCTCTATTATAAAACTGATTTCAAGGAAAATAAACAAGAAAAGGCATCCATGTATAAGGTGCAGCCTTGTATGAGAGAGAGCCTTGTACCCTGTGTGTTTGTGAGGTTGAGGGGAAAACTACATCTAGGGCAATCTTAGACCAGAATTTTAGTCCCTTTTGATGGCAGCATATGCTTGATCCAAACCCCACTGAAATCAATGGAAAGACGTCCATTAACTTTGATGGGTTTTGGTTCTGTATTAGCAAAGGCATCACTGGCATTCATTCCACAAGAGCATTATGTCAATAACAGCCAGCTTTAATTCAGGAAGAGTTCTGTATGGGGTTAGCTTTATTTCAGAGATGTTCTGGTGCCACCAAAGCATTATTTTTCAAACAGCAGAGCTGGCTGGAAAATGTCCCTTCCCCCCAAGTAAAATTTTAACTTTTCAGCAAAAAAATTGAAAGCTGAACATTTTTAGCTGTAAACTTTCAGTTTTAAAATGGAAAATTTGATTTGGAAATGCTATGGTGGTGCCAAATGGGAATTGTATTTCAAGCATGTTGTGTCTCCATTCTCCTCTATGGGCCAAGTTTCTCAGTTGGACTACATCTCCCATGATGCGCCACAATCCTCCCATCTTACTGAGCCACCACCCGTGTGCATCCTGGGAGTCGCCAGCCATGGAACAGCATGAGAGATGCAATGTGGCCAGGGAATCCAGTCCTAGAGGAGAACAGGGGGCAGGAGGTTGTTGTGACAGTATTTCCTAATAGAAATATTTTTGTTTTGCTTTTTGGTTTTCAGGTGTTCAAGTTTTTGACAAAATTGTAAATTTTCTGTGGAAAGTGGACACTTTTTTGTGAAAAAAATTAGTTTTATCAAAAACCCACTTTTCTGTTGAAATATAGTTTTGATGGAAAAATTTCAACCAGCCTTAAACACACAATTTTAAATGATGGCAACCATGTACCAGAAACTATATTAGACTGGGAAAGCTGTCTGTCAGGGTCCACGGGTGTATATGAGACTGCTCTTCTTTCTATTACTTCTGGCCAATGGGGATAAAATTGTATGGTGGAAAAGCAATACTTACGGGTAGTCACCTTGGTAGTGACGGGGACGCTAAGGATGTCACTGATGACAGCGTAGATGGTGATGTTATATGTTTGGCTTGGCTCCAGCTCCTTGATGGTGACAGCACTCCATTCTCCAGGCACCCGTTGCTGGAGCTGAAGGCCCCCCGGCACCACTGGCTGGTAGGAGATCACATATTCTGTCACTGCCATTGGCCCATCCCATTCCAGGTCAATGGACCTGTCACTGATCCCAGCCACTCGCAGATCCTCAGGTGGGGCAACTAAAGGGAGAGGTGATAGACAGGGAGTGTCAGAGAGTGCATGGCTTATCCATCCTCCATCTCGCTACTTTAGGCATGATGTTCTTCTTGGGCTAGGGACTAGGATCACATTTAGAATTGGTATGAGGTGTGACATGGTCTCTCCTGAACCTTTTCATCCATTCCTTGTAGGGGGCTAGTCAATATTTATCTGTGGTGTGGACAGGGTATTAGGCTGGGAGCCTGGAGGCCCCATTCTAATTCCAGTTCTACTTCACCTCTCTGTGCCTCTTTCCTTCCATTCCTTTCTGTCATGACCTGTGGCTCTCAAACCTGGGTCTGCAGCATTCCTGGAGGTCATCACGCTCCAATCCTCCACCCAGTGGTTTACTGGCATCAGTGCGAACTGGGACTTCTTGAAGCCCAGCCCAAATAGAAGGTGTGACGTTTCACTCCATATTCTTTATGAAAATATGCTTATGATATGAATATGACATAACTGAGATGTACTTTATGCAGGATAGGTCTTGTAAGATATCATTGGAAAGGTTATAATTTACTGAATGCGATTATCCAATTTGTATGCCTGTATCATTTCTGTATCTGAGTTAGGAATATTGACTATATATCTATATTTCAACTATGCTACTCTGAGCGATGCCCACTGCTAACACCTCCGGTACAACAATGGAAAAGCCAGACAGGGCTGATGGCCCATCAGCGAGGACAATGGACTGTGAAAAGGCTTGGCCTTCCTGTGGACCCTCCATACTGCCACTGACTCGTGATACTACTGTCAGGAAGGAGTTAAAATTCAGCCAGCAGAAAAGACAGAAACTGCTGAGAAGCAAGGACAAAGTTTCTGTCGATACCCCTGATAACTTAGCTCAGCTTATATGGTCAATGCCCGCCCAGTCACTCAGCTCTTAGGACAATGCTAACCTTCCCTTCACAACCCACCGGATGTCTGAAAGCACTCATCCCTCCCTGCCCTCCGCCTCTATGGCAAGGTAGCCATAGATGCTTGATGCAATAGGATGACCTCTATATGTATGTACTGTTCCTATTTTTATCTTTGTTTAGGGTTCTCTCTTGATTTGTAACAATGTCTGTCTCTGTATGTACAGATAAATGCAAATGAATTGATAAGAGAATGTATATAACTGGCCACTATGGCACCATATTTTTGAAGCTGCTTGTCAGTCTTCCTGGTACTGTGAATAAACCCCCTTCAGTATTGTCTGTGCTTGCCTGATTCTTGGGGAAAAGAATCTTTTTGCCTAACACCACAGAGTCAGGTGGTCTTGTCACCTAATACTAAACATTACCTGGGACTTCTTGTAACTTTCCACTGCAAGGGACAGGGAGGGTCAAGTTTGGGAAACAAAGGTTTTCAACCTTATGTAAATCCTATTTAAAGGTGGGGAGGAAGGCAAATGGGACTCCTCCTCTCCATGACCTGTCTGCCCAAGAAGAAAGACTGCTAAAGCCACCTGAAGGGAAGGCAGGGAGAGTCCAGACTGAGACAGGGATCCAGTCTGAAAAGGAATATAATTGGAACTCTGAACCACAGAAACTTTGCAACCTGCCTAAAATAACATTTAGGGTGAGAATTTACATTTTGTAACCTGTTTCATAAGTATATTGAGCTTAGCTTGTGTATTTTGCTTTATTTGGTCAGTAATCTGCATTGTTCTGTCTCTTCTCTCTTATGTTCACCTAAAATTCACCTTTTGTAGTTAATAAATTTGTTTATGATATAACCCAGTTTATGTAATTTTTAACTGGGGGGAGAAGGGGGAAAGAAGTTGTGCATATCTCCCTCCACATTGAGGGAGGGGGTGAATTTCATAAAACCTCTGGGTTTGTACCCCTTAAAAGGAGTGGGCACCAGAGTGTTGGGGAAAGCTCCTAAGGCTGAATCTTTCCAGAGCGGATCTCTGTCTCTCTGTGCAGCTGGGTGTGGCCCTGCCTGTGCGGTTGGCTGGAAGAGGCTTGTGAGCCTCACCCAGCAAGGCCAGGTAAAGGGGACTCAGGCTGGCAGAATAGGCTGATTCAGTGGCATCCCAGCACATCAGGTAACCTCCCAAAGGGCCCACACCTGTCACAGAAGGCTCTACCCCTATTGATGGAACACAAGAGCTTCTGATTGGCCCATTCCCCCTACTTAAGCCAGAAGGAGGAACAGGGAGTCATCTGTACAGCTGGGTTCCACTCTGCTTTGGACTGCTCATCCAGTGCTATCTGCTCTTGTCTCTTGACCGTGACTTCCTTGTTTCCTGAATCGGCCTGATTCCTGGTATCTGACTCTTGGTTCCTGATCTTGGCTCCTGACCTCCTGGTTCTGAACCCCGGCTGGCAGGGTGACCTGGCCCCCTGCCCTATACTAAACACTAGGCATGGCCGCCTACGTGCCGGCCCTGACACTTTGCCTGCCTTGTCAATTCAATCTCTTCAGGGAAGGGGCTGTATGTGGTTGTCCAATGTGTGTGCAACAGGAACCCAATCTTGGTGGGGCCCCCTCAGTCCTGCAAATAATCAATAATAGTCCTGCACAACGGGAATGTTGTTCAGTAAACAAAAGTCAATGGGACTCTGTGTGTGTGTGGGGGGTGGGGGGCGGAGGGTGTTAAACGGTATGTTATCATGGGGCAAACTTGGGAATGACTCACACTTTGAGAACAACAGTTATTCCAATCCAGTGTTAATAGCACAGAATATGAGGGGGAGGAATTAATGCAATTTCCAGTATATGTATTTTCAAATAAACGCTTTTTAACTATATCGTCACTAGGGAGTATTCCTAACTCAGTGCCCCATAGTGCTGCCCAGCCTCAATCACCCACTGGTTAAATTTTCAAACAAGTGCCCTTGTGGTTTCTCCCATGCTGCCCCTCATGCTTCGAGGAGCTACCTAAAAACATCCACAAAGGTACCTCATTATCTTCCTTCAAATCCCTCCTTAAAACTCCTTTGACCTGAGGCCCACAAAAAACTTGACAAGAGTTAGGCTACTGGTGCTCTTAGTCCACTGCCCATCATTTTGACCGATATTGTCTCATCATTTCTTTTTACTTCTCATCTCTCTGCATCCACCTGTTATCTCTTATTTTATACTTATTGGGAACTCTTTAGGGCAGGCACCATCGTCTTGTTCTGTGTTTGCACAGCACCGAGCTATCGTGATACATGGAATTAAAGCTGAGGCAATCAGCTGATGGTGTCATCCTGCTTCTGCTAAGTCTTAAAACCCACCTTGGCAGAGTGAGGACTGATGTCTGAGTGCCACATCAGGGTGTGTAATGCTAGTGATGGGACGAGCAGTCAAACCATGATGGCCCTGGACTCTGAAATTCAGATCTGGATGTGACTATTCCCCTGAGTTTGGGGGTGATTGGACTCCAGGCTTTGTTTTGACCTATTGCAGAGGTGCAGCCAGCCATAGATCCTGCTCCAAAGCTGAATGTCCTCAAAGTTTGGAGATACTCACATGCAGGGATTTGCTTTGGGGTCATCTCTCATTATTATCATTAGTAGTGTTGCAGTAGCACCTGGAGCCCTCCTCATGGAGCAGGACCCACTGTGATAGGCCCTGTACAAACACAGACAGTCCCTACCAGGATGAAGGAATTCCTGACCTTGTGCTGGGTTTGCCTTCGAGACAGCTCATTTGCTTGTCATTCAACCACTTTTAATGTAATAGAATCATAGAATATCAGGGTTGGAAGGGACCTCAGGGGGTCATGTCACTCGCTCACAGGTGACTGAGAACCAAGAAGTGTTGCTTTTCATAGAATCCTAGAAATGAAAGTCTGAAAGGAACCTCAAGAAGTTACCAAGTCCAGCCCCCTTTGCTGAGGTAGGACCAAGTCTACCTAGACCATCCCTGACAGGTATTTGTGCCACCTCTTCTTAAAAACCTCCAGTGATGGCAATTCCACAACCTTCTTTGGTAACTTATTCCAGAGTTTAACAACCCATATAATTAGAACATTTTTCCTAATATCTAATCTGAATATCCCTTGCTGCAGATTAAGTCAATTATTTCTTCTCCGACCTTCAGTGGATGTGGAGAACAACTGCTCACAGTCCATAGCAGCCCATAACATATTTGAAGACTGTTATCAGGTCCTGTCTCAGTCTTCTTTTCTCAAGACTAAACATGGCCAGTTTTTTTAACCGTTCCTCACAGGTCAGGTTTTCTAAACTTTTTATCATTTTTGTTGCTCTCCTCTGGACTCTCTCCAGTTTGTCCACATCCTTCCTAAAGTGGGCACCCAGAACTGGACGCAGTACTCCATCTGAGGCCTCACCAGTGCTGAGTAGAGCCAGACAATTACCTCCTGTGTCTTACAAACAACCTCCCTGTTATTGATATTAGCCTTTTTTGCAGTTGTGTCACAATGTTGGGTCATATTCAATTTGTGATCCACTATAACCTCCAGATCCTTTTCAACAGTACTCCCACCTACCCAGTTATTCCCCATTTAATAGCTGTGTATTTGATTTTTCCTTCCTCGGTGAAGGACTTTGCACTTGTCTTTACTGAATTTCATCTTGTTAAATTCAGACCAATTCGCCAATAGGTCAAGGTCATTTTGAATTCTAATCTTGTCTTCCAAAGTGCTTGCAACCTCTCCTGGCTTGGTGTCATTTGCAAATTTCATAAGCATGCTCTCCACTCCATTATTCAAGTCATTAATGAAAATATTGAATGCTGCCAGACCCAGGACTGACCCTTGTGGCACTCCATTAGATATGTTCAGTGATGAGCTGCCAAAAGCTGAAGAACCAGTTCCTTCAGTCGCTCTGGTTCTTCGGTGGCACTGAAGGACCCGCCGCCGAAGTGCCGCTGAAGACCCGGAGCGACTGAAGGCCCAGCTGCTGAAGTGCCGCCAAAGACCCGGAGCGCCGTCTGGTGAGTAAAAATTGCCTAAAGTTAACCATGTGCTTAAGTGTTTTCTTGTTACAGCATTCAAAAGCTTTCTTATTGCCTCACAGCACACTGTCTGGTTCCTTGTATTCTTTAACAACGGGCTCTAAACCGGCTTCAAAATTTAACAACCGGTTCGCGCAGCTGGTGCGAACCGGCTCCAACTCACCAACGTCCTCCCCGTTTGACAACTAACCATTGATAATTACTGTTTGAATATGGTCTTTCAATCAGTTGCACACCCACCTTATAGTAATTTCGTCTAGACCGCATTTCCCTAGTTTGTTTATGAGAATGTTAAGTGGAACTGTGCCAAAATCCAGATATATCATGACTACTGCTTCCCCCATACACTATGCCAGTATCCCTGTCAAAGAAGGAATTTAGATTAGTTTGGCGTGATTTGTTTTTGTGAAATTCATGCTGGCTACTGCTTGTAATCCTGTTATTCTCTAGGTGCTTAGAAATTGTTTAATAATTTGTTCCAGTATCTTTCCAGATATTAAGGTTAGGCTGACTGGGTTATAATTCCTGGGGTCCTCTTTGTTTCCCTTTCTAAAGACAGGCACTATGTTTGCCCTTCTCCAGTCGTCTGGGATCTCACCTGTCTTCCAGGAGTTCTCAAAGATAATCACTAATGATTCAGAGATTGCTTTAGGTAGATCCTTTAAGCACCCTAGGATGAATTTTATCTGGCTCTGACGATTTGAACACATTTATCTTTAAATATTCTCAAACCTGATCTTTCCCTATTTTGGCTTGCAGTCCTTCCTTCTTGTTGCTAAAATTAATTGTGTTGGGTATCTAGCAAAACAGGTATTAAACACCTGAGCTTTTTTGATGTCATCAGTTATTAGCTCTCCTTCCCCACTCATTATTTTTTGCTTTCAATTGCATTCAATGAAATAAAGAGGCCATATGTGACTGAGAGGGAAACATGCCTTCTTTGGGGCTGCATAAAGCTTCTGAAAATAGTCCTAAACTGCATCCAAAACACCCCTTGTTGGGATTTCCCCTGGAGGCAGCAGAAGCGGGGCTCTGGGAGGTTAACCAGTATTTAAATAATGGCTTTCTCACCCCTCTTTCACCTCCCCCAGTCCCACCCAACCCCGTCACATTATGCAGCATTTTTCCTGGTGATCTGAAAAGCAGCAGTGCAGCTGTTAAGGGGCTAAGTGAAAGGAGGAATGGGGCAGATAATGGCAAGTGTAGGGAACGCAGGTCCAGGAAGCAGGCAGTGCAGAAGCAAGAAGAAGGTGGAGGGGAGTGGGGCAGACAGCAGAGCAATAGAGAGGGTTGTGGGCTGGACAGAGGGAATCTGGAGAAGTTGTTGGTTGCTGGCCAGCGCCTGTGTAGCAGCTGCAGCTGTCCTGCCTATACGAAAAAGGAGCAGTATTGCGTGTTGGCCACGCACAGCTCAGAGTCCTGGGGAAGAGTGAAAAGGCTGAGTCTCTAGGAGACAGGGCTCTGTGCGTGGCGAGGTTCACCTGTGTAGAAATGCTGCAGCCCTTTCCTCGCTGCTCTGTGACTGATGCACCATTTTAGCTGGGATGAAAGGGTTAAATTGTATCTTGGCAGAGGGGTGCCCAAGCTGCAGGCCCAGAGGGCACTCATTGGGGTGAGCACGTCCTTGTCGTCTGGGACTAGGCAGCTCTGGTGCCTAACTGTATGATTTGGGGAGATGGCAGCCGTGGAAGAGAGATCTGCAGTGAGGTGAATGCATATAAACCTGCAAGCGTCACGTGCCCCCAGCCAACACCCACACGCTGCTTTCCTGCCGGGAGATGGGAAACTTATGGACAACAAATATGGCATCTCTTTGGTTGGGATGGAGTCTGCTTCCCTTCCCACCCACTCCCCTCATCCCCTGCAGCACCAGGCCTGCTATCTGGGTGCTTGGCGTGAAATGCCGAACGTAGCTTTTATCCTCGTTCTCAAGTAGCCTGGTTAGGAGAGACAAGTGGAGAAGCACTTTAGATAATGATCCAGATGCTCCTGCACAAAGGGCCAAGGGCAGGTGGTTTCCAGACAGATGGTAATAGCCCCAAGAAGGAGCAGCACTTTACCTTGGCCTTATTGGGTGGACTACAGTTGTCATAGCAACAGCCGTTGGTTACACAGTGATCTTCCCCTGTGATGCTGGCAGAGGGTCCCCATGTGAACCATTGCAACAGCTGTCATGGTCCTTCCACTGGTGTTAGCAGGGGTCCTGAGCAGGAAGGCAGTGCAGAATGCTGGGGCCCAGGTCCCTTGCACAGTGCACAGCATGGAGACCCTGGCTGAGTTAGGGAACTGTGACAAGAGCACGATCGTATTTTTCCTCCCCAAATGAATTACTCTGCAGAAATCACCTCCGGAATGTCTGACGGCTTTGTCTGCGTGAAATGGCCCCATGCCTGGGCATGTGTAGGGCCTGAGTCTCAGTTACTGTGTTCCTGTTCTGGGCAAGGGGAGCTTAAAGCTCTGCCCGTATGCCAGGCTTGGGAAAGGCCCTGATGTAAGTCAGAGCAACATCAGGGCTGCTCTAACTTGTGCTTTGCATCCCATGGCTCCCCATGGGCCCCAGGGAGCAGAGAACAGCAGTAGTGTGTTGCCTTCCTGCCAAGCCAACCCATCCTGACATACCCCTGATCCACCCACTTCACAAGCAGGCTGAGAGCAGGGCCTACCCTTGCACCAGCTCTGTGCCCGGTAGGGAGGCCACTCCTACCTGCTGAGCAGTCTTGTCCCTTGTAACCTTCCTCACAAGCGCACATCCCCTTCTGGCAGAACCCACGTCCGCTGCAGGCATTCAGGCATCTCAGCTGACTGCAGTCTTCCCCCACGTAGCCCTCCTGACAGATGCAGGTGCCATTGGTGCATCTCCCCTTTCCCAAGCAGTCATCGGGGCACCTCAGCTCGCTGCAGTCTTCCCCTGCATAACCTTCTTCACAGACGCACTCCCCGTCCACGCAGAGGCCTCGGGAGCTACAGTCCGTCGGGCAGCGGAGCTCTGAGCAATCGTCCCCACTGTAGTCGTTGTCGCAGATGCACTGGCCTTCTACGCAGATTCCCCGGCTGGAACAGCCCATGGGGCAGTGGGGCTCTGAGCAGTTTTTTCCAGCCCACCCTTCATTGCAGATGCAGCCACAGGACTCCAGGCTAAAGTTACCATGCCCACTGCAGTGGGAGATGTAAGCTAGCTGCCCTGGAATGATCAAAATCAACAAGTCAGCGATCACTAGGGGCTCTATGGTGGGGACAGAGGAATCCCCACAACGGCTGCAGCCACAGTAGGATGATATCCTTCCAATAGTGCTGTAGTTTCATATGGGCATTTGCTGGGGGACATTAATGCTGACAGGAGTAGGAGCCTGATTACACTGTGCATTATTCTCATGCATAACTCTGCCACTTGCAGAGGCAACACGTGGGGGAAGGCATGCAGGGTCATATGCCCCCCTATTTCTGCCAGGTTTAGATGACCTGCCATGAGCCCTGTGGCATTCAGCCCGAACCTTTGTCGTGCCTCCCGCCCACTATCAACAGTTATGCGTTGTCTCTATCTGCCAGGACACTTTGGTCTTGACCTGCAGTGCTCCTCCGCTATTTCAGCTGTGGGCTGGTGCCAGTCATGCTGAATTGCCCCCAAGCTGTGAAATTGTTTTTAAGGACATGCTTAAAAGGTCCATTTGGAGCTATGACAAGATGCACTTAACACAATATTCACTTAGGATTATTATATATTATTTGCAAAATTCCGATCTCAGTCCAGGTTTGCATTCAAAGGGTTTTGATTTGGCACAAGTTATGCAGGCCTGGACAAGCATTGCTACTGTGGATGACATTGTGAGATACAAAAAAGCTATTTCTAGTGGTTTCTCTGGCCTCTCTGAATCATGTGCAGCTACTAGACCTGCAGGGCTGCAAAACGTTGGACTTTAAGGCCCTAGTCTGCACTGGTGCATGGGTCTGTCAGCACTGAACTTGGTGCAAGATTGGGCCCGAAGTTTGTGGCATTTTTATGTACAGAAAACATGTTACTGGCTGAGAACTGAATCTCTAGTCCATCCTGGGCCTTGGGTAAAGGGGAAGAGAGGAAGGATATCTCTGCCAGGCTGATTTAAAACAAAAGGGTATTTGTTTGAAATTCTCAGGGGGCTGGAGAGCATTAGAAGTAGCCTCCAGGGGAGATGGAATAGTGAGCAGAAGGCAGGTGGAGTGATCAAAGGTGAGTGCTAAGTGCAGTTGTTACACAGCTCTACAACATGCAATTACTACGTAGCTCTGCAGCATATCACATGATTACCATCTCCTACTGGCCACTGGGATTGGGAAAACCTGACCGTAGAAACATTTTATTGGGCTTCAAAATCCGAATAATTTATGTTTCAATGTTTTGTACTCTCTCTCTCCCTCTGTGTGTGCACACACACTTATTGGAAGATTCAGCTTTCTTCCATCTCACTTCACCCTTCTTAAATTGCATGGTTGTTCCCTGAATTCAACATCCTCACACTGGACGGGTTCTGTGGAAAACATAGTATGTGTTCATGTCATTAAAGACTGTATCATAATGCATATGCACCAGGGGGCTGAATTTAGGTTGCATGGGGAATCTTAATTCTGGCATTGTCTAATTTTTGCACACTTGATTTGCAATCGTAAAGACCTTCTGATGTAATTTTTTAGATGTAATTTCTTAATTTGTTAATAATAAAACCAAACTGAAAAAAACCCTCCAGAAATTCTATAATATGGAACCATATCCACCTCCAGTGTGGGTCATCAGCAGAGTTCCGACCTTTGGATCCACAGCACAGACCTCTACCACATAAGCTAATGGAGTGCCCGATGATGGTAGTAGGCTATTATCTTCTGTGAGAGCCAGCCACCAGAGGGGGATAAGACTCTTAGCCAGGGGTCTTGACAGCTGTTTGCTGTCAGCAGAAGAATGTAGACTCAGGACACCTGGGTTTGATCTGGAGGGGTTGCCCTAGGTTACACACCATTCTGACCCTCTGTTTCTACCCAACTCCCCCTCCTCAACGCTTGGCTCTTATCCCCAGCCCCTCTGCTGCTATGTAACCCCCCAAAGTACCTGCCCCTATATAACTCCAGCTCCTCCCTCTACCCCTCTACTCTTGTCCAACACCCCCACACCATCAGTTCCTGTCCCCTCTGCTCCTTTTCACCTCCCATCCCCTGGCTCCTGCCCTCTCCCCACTGCACCTAAATACCCCATATCCTCTCCCCCTCCCTCTGCTCCTGTCTGTTCCGCCCCTGGCTCCTGCCCCTCTCCATCCCACTCCCTGGCTCCTGCAACACCCTCTATCCTGCTGCCTGTCCACCCCATTGGGCTGCTGGGTTGGGGGAATATGTGCCTATATAAGACAAAGCCCCGAATATTGAGACTTTCCCTATAAAATCAGAACATCTGGTCACCTAAGTGCCAGCAATGGGGAGCCAGGAGAGACAGTCTCCCTGCTCTCAGTTCCTGGGCCTGGCACCACAGCTGAGCCCCTTGGTGGAGGTACAATTGCAGGAAAAGTCCTGTGCAGCCCCTGCAGGCACGGGACAGAGCACGCTCTGCTGTTCTGCAGGGATGGCCCATATGCAGTCTGGTTGGCATGTAGGAACTGTGCAGGGATGGAGCATGCTCAGTGCAGACAGAATTTTTGGAGAGTTTAGCTGCCAAACAAGTCTCTGCTTAGTACATGCAAAATGAGATTTTTTGGAGGCTTATTGTTTGGCTAAATCTGGGCACATGTTCACAGGGACAGCAAAAGGCACATCCCTGACACCAGGGCAGTCCTGTTACCAAATTTCATGTGCATGGAGGCACTACAGCTGCTCCGTGAGATGGTGGTAAGAATTATTTTACCATGGGCAAAACAACGTATTTTCTCCTAAACTCATTCTTGGAAATGGTTGAACCATTTGACTGAAACTTTTCCAAAATATTCAGCCTGATACAGACACCTGGTGTGGAAAATGTCAACCTGAATGGTTGAAGTTTGGCAAAATTATAAGCAAGTGAAAGCAGAGTCTTATCATGGAAAATGTTAGGCAATCTTAATTAAAGGTGATGCTATCACCTCCACCTATCATATATATTGCTGACCAACAAACATAAAAGTGGTTGGTTAGAAAGTGTGATGGGACCATTTAGGCTATGCACACATTGGGGTGGTGTTCGGGTGTTCAGACTCTTGTTAAGTTGTCAGTAGATGAGAGAGGATGCTTGAACAGTTGCCAGAAAGTGGAGGATCATTTATGGAAATGTCTGGCACTGGTGGGGGGATGACCAATTCTTATCTGATTTACACTGGTGTTAATCAGAGTAACTCCACTGAATTTAAAGAAGTTACTCCAGATCTCCCTGGTGTAGCTGAGATTGGACTGGAGATTCCATAGAGTGATAAATATTTTGTAACTTCATTTGCATACATTATAAATAACCCAAATAGACCTACAACTGTTTTTACAACTAACTCCTTTCATGTTTTATCTCTTGAATTTTATTACTTGATTTTAACAGTGATTATTCAGCACATCAGTTTAATGGTGGAATAGTTTACATTTTATTTTTACCTAATGCAGTTATTAATATGTATGTTTGGATAATGTGTTTGGTGCCAGACCTTCAGCTGGTATAATTTGGAATCACTTGCTTTGAACTGGGGCAGATTTACACCAGCTGCCGATCTGACCTATACACATTTCTCTGTGTGTTGCTGTGTTCTCTCTGTATGACAATGATGTGTGCATATAATCCCCCCTCACACACATAGATCATGAGCCTGATTCTCCTATTATCTATTAATATAACTTTGTTGGCTTCAGTGTCGTTACTCCTGATTTACATTGCTGTGTGACTAAGAGCAGGGTTAGGCTCAGTATAATTATGTATTATGCCGATTATAAAATAACAAGTTAAAAAAAGGAGAAGACATGGGGGAGCAAAGTTTGGGGTTTTTTGATTGTAGCCAGTTCCTGTCTTCCCCCTACACTGGACAGTAGTTTTCTGCACCTGGGATAGGGCTTTGGATACCTTCCGTACGTTGACATTTCCTCCCCTTGAGGAGTTCTCATACGCCCAATTAGAGCGTTCATTTTCTACGCTTCACCATTCAGAGACCCGGATGCATGCTGTTAAGGAGTGTGGCAGAAACTCTTTGAGAAAACATCTCTGGTTCCTCACTCGGTTGAAATTCATTGTATCAACACCCCCCCCCCCCGTAACCCATTTCCTTACAGCAACCTGCTATTTCCTTGGATTTGAAGAACTGCCTTGTAGAGATGATGAACTGAACTGTGTCTTTTGAAACAGTAACCCTAATGGAAGGGTTACAGAAAGCTTCACAAAGCTTGCGCATTTTGATTCAGATGGAATATTCGGATGCTAGCTTTGTGCCTGCATTAGGAAAGGGTTTATTTGTCTTTCATGGCAGCTAAAGTTATCTCCTGATATTTTTTTAACTGTGAATTTCATATCCACTCAGGCCTTCTAGGGAGAGGGCAGAGAACTCATTTATTGCTGACTCCTACGCTGCTGTATTGTGTGAAAGGACTACTTCAGAAACCAGTAGATTTTCTCTTCTACCGATCCCATGAAAAGTTACAGAACTGGCCTAACGATTGCTAAGGAGCAGGGGGTATAAAAGACAGACTTGCTGCCTCGTCATCTTGCTAGCACCATGCAGTTGTTTTTTAACCTGGCTTTAGCTGTGGTTGTGACTACGTTTCCGGTGAGAGGACTTGAGCTGCAATGATATCATAAAATGGTTGCTCTTGGCGGGAATCTCTGTGGATTAATCTTGCTGTTCAGTTCAGTTCCAGTTTACCTGTAGCTCTTTAGAATGCTTACAACTTGCTGGTGATACATGGGAAAAGGCCCCGGTGGTTCAGTGTAGAGAGTTAAGGCTAGATTGTGACTTGGATTGCATGCCCATATCGGGGATTAAGCATCCCACTCCCCCACCACTTCCCAACCTTGGATCTGGGATGCATTGTTCTAGGAAGGGAGCAAGCTGGCACGGGTAGGCATGGAGTGGTGAGGAAGGAGCAGGGCCTTGACTCTATCTTCCCACTTACACAGTTTATTGAAGGAGCCTGGGGACATTTGGGATGGAATGAGTGAAGGGACTGGACTCCCATCTCTTTCCCAGAAGAGGAAAGTCTTTCTAGGCCAGTAGGGAGAGGTACATTGGTAGAAGGGTGTAGGTCTCGGTCAGGGTACTGGGCCATTGGTGGAGCAGTCGGGGGAAGACCAAGATGCAAAGAGCAATGAAGTTCAGCTCTCTTCTCACCTGAGCAGTGTTTCCTCTGGGTCACTGCTGAATATACTGAAGAGCTTGGAGAAAGCTCAACACTTAATAACCACAGAGTGAGGGCCAGATTCAGTGGTGATGTACATGGCTGGGAAAGTCACATGTAGGGTCTAAACTGGTCAGCAAATGGGCTCAAGTGACAAAGTAGTGTCTGGTAACTTGCACCAATCCAGCAGTCAGCATGAGTGTCCAAAATAGGTGTGAGTGTAACCTACATCAGTTCAATTTCTTGTGGAGAACAAAATCAGTTCTTGGTAAGTGGGCCCAGTTCCATTCTGTTACATGCGGGTAAATCAGCAGGCATTCCACTGAAGCCAATAGCAGTTGCATCCCCTTACACCCTACAGCAGTGGTGGGCAACCTGTGGCTTGCAGGCCGCGCACAGCCTGTCAGGGTAATCTGCTGGCGGGCCGCCAGACAGTTTGTTTACATTTGCATGGCCACCCACAGCTCCCAGTGGCCGCGGTTTGCCGTTCCTGGCCAATGGGAGCTGTGGGAAGTGGCGGCCAGCACGTCCCTGTGGCCTGCTGCTTCCTGCAGCTCCCATTGGCCGGGAACGGCGAACGGTGGCCACTGGGAGCTGCGGGTGGACGTGCAAATGTAACCAAACTGTCTGGCAGCCTGCCAGCGGATTATCCTGATGTGCCACGTGCAGCCTGCAAGCCACAGGTTGCCCTCCACTGTCCTAGGGTTATCTGCTCTTCCTCCACCTTTTGCCTCTGCCAGGCAGGTTACACTCACTTTGCATTATCTGCTGAGTTCCAAATTGATGCACTTTGCCACTTGCACCTATCTTCTGACCAACTTATACACAATATGTAACTTACTTACATTTATATCTGAATTTGACCCTGAGACTTCCATGGGAATTGTACCCACTTTACCAAGCTGCACTTGGGCCAGTGACTGAATTTCATTGTCGGTCTAGAAGAAGATATTTCCCCCATGTATAAACATTGACAAATCCATGTTGCAGGTTGGGATGCTCAAGAATCAATGCACCTGGAGACTGAATCTCTTTTTTAGGAGATGAAGAACTGTCACTGCACACACTTAGGAGTTTTACCAGGGGAGGGAGCTTTAAATTTCCATTGGGGGCTCCATAGGAACCATGGCAGTTGAGGAGGCCTGGGAGATACCCCGAATCAGCATATTTCCTGAATGCCCTGACCCTGCCTCTCCCCAGTCAGTCCCACCCTCTTTCTTGGCTATGCTGGCTGGCTTTGGGATTCCCAGCAGTGTGGAGACTTGTGCTTTTGTACCCATCTCCTGATGGACTTTCTACCTCCCAGAACCTGTAGCCTAGGTTCTAGCTAGTGAATCTGGCCCTCTTTGTTTAGGTTGATGAGTAATATTGACAGTGCTGAGTATATGCACTGTCGTGGCACCATTAGCAAATGCAAAATTTCCTCCATTAATACTCAAAGTTTCACCCACTCTTAACTCATGCGCCTTCCTCTCTTGAGACTTTAGTCCCCAGCAAGATCTAACAGCATCAGTTACTACCTGTAGCTGCATTTTCTTGGCAGCAATTGGAGTTGCATTGGTCCCGTAGCATGGACACCTCCCTCTCCAGCATCTCAATTCTGCTTTGAAGCTCCTGCATGACCTGGACAGAGGTGAAGCACTTGCAAGCCTGCTTGGGGAGGTTTATCCTGTGGGTGAAGGTGACCTGGCTCTCGCTGTCTGAGGTCTGCTCCGTATATTCCGTCATCCTGTCGTCTTCTGAACTCACCTCCTGGTCAGATGATGCCTCGAGCGCTGATGAGCAGAAGGTGTCCAGGGGGACGTTAATGTTGTATACATGGTTGAAGACCATGGATTGCTCCTTGATAGGCAGGCTGTCGTTGGCAAAGTTGCCTTCCTTGTCCACTACCTGCCTCCTCATCCGCTCTGTTGTCACCTCTAGCCGGCACTCAAAGGGCTTGAGGACTGATCCCAGCAGGAGCAAGTTGAGACTGATAAGCATGTTCCTCAGGACTAAGTTTTCACTGTCAGCCCCCATTTTCTTGAGCAGAGAAAGCAACTTCTAAGCCAGTCTTGGCCAACAGAGCTGTCTGAGAACCTGGAGACCCTGAACGAGAAGAACATGAATGATATTAGCCTTTAAACGGGACTGCTGTGCTCAGACCACAGGAGGAGTCTTTTGCAGTGCAGCGTAAGGGGCTAGATTCTGCATAGATGTAACCCAGTGACATCCCATTGGCCTCAGTGTGATTGCAAAGGCTGCAAATCACTTGGGATCTCACCCATTGCTGGCAAGGAAATAGCTGTGTTTTTAAGGAAAGGTTAAATGTGAGTCATCAGCTGTCGAGATGGTGCAGTCTAATAATGCGCTAGCCTTTTGTAGCTGGAAGCCTTACGTCACAACTGAAGGACCAAATTCTGGCTGCTTGGGGTGTAAACCAGAGCAGAATTTGTCCTGTCATGCATTTGGCCGGCTCAACAAGAATCCAGTCCTCACATTCGTCTGTCTCATCACCAAGGGCCTGATCTAATGCCCATTGAGGTCAATGGGGGTCTTTCAGTGAGCACTGGCTCTGGCCCCAACAGCTGGATCCTGCAAGGTGCTAGCACTTCTGAGGTGGTGCTCAGGACCTTGAAGGGCTGGACCAACGTCTGGTGCAGTTTGCCGATACTGGAAGTCTTTGTTCATGTGAAAGTCCATAGACTGGAATAGAAGGGCGATGGCCGTTCCTGGCTGAGGCATACTGGGAGGCCGGTTGGTAACCAGCTGCCAGAGTGATGCTGTCTGGTTTATACTCGGTCTCATTTAGCCAGGCGATCAGTACCTCACTTTTGTGAGCTGTCATACACCCCCAGGGTGGAATCTGGGCCCACTGAAGTCAGTGCAATTAAATTCAATGGGGACAGGATTTCACTCAAAATCTTTACACAGGGACATGAAAATTTTGCATCTTACTTGGTTGATTTTTTTTTGGTACTGAAATGGTTCATTTGGTAGAAGCACATCATCTACTCGCTAATATATTTGGGGGATAAATTCCCAGATGGGAACCTATTCCGGATGCACTAACAAATACAATACGGGAGGGAAAAAAAGGCTTAAAAGCATGGGTGGTGAGTACACATGTTCTCATATCAGTATGGTATCTCAAATGGCATTTCATGCCTCAGAAACTGAGCACTAGATTGCCAGGTTTAATTCAGTGGCTGTAGTAACACTGTTAAATTAGACTGTACAGTATTAAGTTTGTTTAGGTTTATGTTCTGGACAGACCAATATCTCCTGTTGAAGTCATTTCATCCCCTACCTGTGCCCTGGATTATGTGGTAAAGTGTCTTTATTTGGAACAAGACAACTTTTCGTTTTCTTATTGATTTGTGGTCTGCAGGTGGTAATCCCAACTCTAAGGGCCACACTTATCCCTGGTATAAAATCACTGACTTCAGTGGATTTGCCCAGGGATGGATTTGCCTCTAGAACTCTTGCTGGAACTATTGTGTGTTGACCAATGGTTAACTCCATCTGTTCTGCTTTAAAGAATTGCTGCTTTACATAGCAGAGAGGAGGAAACCAGCAGACTGGCAGGACTGCAACTGTGAGCCCAAGGACTCTAATTGTTTCTGGTGCATCAGAAAGGACAATTTGATTGCACATTGGTTACCAGCTGCCAATCTGTTTGCCTTGCATTTTGTTTTCATTGGATCATTAGTTTATGGTTTGTGTCGTATAATTAGAGTGCAGTTGTTTGGAGGAAGGAGAGTTTAGCAGTAACAGCAGGGGCTGACAGACAGAATTGCTGCAGTTTATATTCAGTTCTGTCACTATCTCACTGTGTGTGTACATGGGGGGCAATTCACTTTGACCTCCTTGTGCCTCAGTTTACCCACCTGTAAAAGAGGGATGATAATAAAGGCTAGCTCGAAATAGTTTATCTTATTTTTGTGCCCCTCCCCCTCTTTTGTTCTGGGCAGCTGTAATCATAGTGTTCTTCATTACAGCTTGGTGGGAAACTTTCCCCCCATCCCATGATAATTTGAGATATTGAAAAAATTTCCTATCTGAAATTGGGACCAAAAGCAGAAATCTTGAACGGTTTTTATGAACCAAATCCAAAACAAAATTTCAGTTCACATCAATCACAACATTTCATTTCAGTAATTTCTAAATGCTTCATTTTGATTTGGACTATTTTTATTTATTTATTTTTTTTTTACTATAATTAGCTTACACTTCAAAATGAAAAGTCATTTTGAACTGGAAAACTGGAATTTTTCATTTAGAAAATGTTGCGACAAAAGATTTTGACAATTTAAAAACTTTTTTCCCAGAAATATTTTTTAGTTGAAAAACTTCAAAACAGATCCTGTCCCGTGACAAGTTTCGGTTTCAATCAATTGGCATTTGCAATTGAAAAAACGTTTTATTGAAAAATTCTTGACTGACTCTAGTTATTCATCTAACCTCCCTGGGGGCTTGTAAGGCTTGAATTAATTAACACTGGTAAAATGCTCATGGTTCTTTGTTAAAGGGTTCAACAGAAATGCAAAGTATTATTGAATTTTAGCATCGTTTCCTGTAGTAATTACTACGAATATAGACTGAAGTCAGTGGAAATATGGGTGATCAACTGGAGCGCTCAGCACTTTTCAGGATTGTGGTCTAATAATTTTTAATATAAAAGATGATGTTTTCAAATATTGCAAAGTGACTTAGGTGTCTTGCTCTCATTGAACGTTAATGGCTAGATGCCGAAACCTAGATGCTGAAATCCTGCAGGCCCTTTTGAAAATATTACCCAACGTCTCTCCAGTCTGCTCCTTCCTGCTGCCCCACCACCATTAGGGAATAACAAGCACTTGGCACGTAATTGAGGTACAGTAATAAATACTCTGTAAAGCATCATAAAATATACAGTATAAAACAAACAATTAAAAATGTCAGTGCAACATCACAAACAAGAAAAAGGAAGGAAACAAAAGAAGATAGATTTCATGGCAAGTGTGGATATGTATACAAGGGCAGGAAATGGCCCGTTGAGTTAACCCTAATTAATTACTTATGTCAACCAGGGTCTGAATGAGCTCTACCCTGACACTGACTGATGAACTGGGAGGGAAAGACCCCATAGGGCAAAAGACTTTGCATAGACCCACCTACTCTGCCTTGATGACGGGCAGAGTGATCAACCTGATCAGTTTTGGCTGTTCTGGGTTAAAATTCACTTTCGTCTTGAATGCAGGGTTAATGGGTTGTTGTTAGCTTACGGTACAACTAAAGGGCAGCAGAACTGTACTTACCGTGCCCTAATTGAGGGGGGTCACCCTCGCTGTAGCCCACTTGCTAAGCAGGAGATAGTGATGCCAATCCAGGTACAAGTCAGAGGGGGTGGGGGAGAGGTGCTCCTCCTTGGTGGTGTGGGCTCTGTTTAAAGCGGCACGGATACCATCTCCTCCTCTCCCTCCTCTGTTTAAAGGTAAAGCCGATCAGACTCAATTTAGAGGCCTTGTTCGCTAGGGCTGAAATCACTGATGAGTAGCACTAGGGGGCTGAACCTTAGACCTTGTTGGGAACAGTGTAGCAGAGAAAGACAACATGGAGGATGCAGCAGGCACAGCAGTGCACAGCACAGCACAGCAGCGGTAAGCGGCGGCAGGGGTGAGCAGCAGCAGCAGCAGCAGTGAAGACCCTGCTTGGCCCCCATTCAGGGGTGGGAGGTGAATGCACCCCTGAGTTCTGGGACCTTGCTGACTTCGGACAACCAGCTGCCAATGGGGTGCAGAGGAGGGAAAGGGGAGTGGCATGTTAAAGGGACACCTGTCCACTGGACTTTCAAACCACAAAGTGGGAAACCGAGCCAAAGGACTGCTGGCCAAGATACGGTGGGATGGGTGTTTCCTTATGGCTTACGTACTTTTGAATCATTGTTGAGGTGGTTTCCCAAATTAATGCTGAGTTCCCGCTCCCTTGGAATAAAAGTTTTCTTTTGTTTGCAAGTGAGGAAGTATTGCCTCTGAGAAGCACCCCCAGGTGGTGTTTAGTTTGCCAGATTTCTGGGTGAGAGCTCAAGCCAGTTCTGTTTTGTGATGTTAAAAGGAACCCCTAGGTATTGAACCTGGCCGTGCTGTTGCCGACACCATCTGGCAGACGGGTTACATTTAAATTAACCATAACTTTGTGCTTAATCTTTGAAGGTGGGTTGGACATTTATATGGATCTCAAGAATATCCAGAGGTGTTACAGTTAATGCTGACAAAAAGAGTACTGGGAAAGAGATTAAACCTCATCTTGTCAGTGTTTAAACCAATCTCTATCAGGGATTAGGAGGAGATCTTCATGGGGGGGCAGATCACTCCCACATCTGCCTACTGCAGAGTTTCTAGCACCTTCTTCTGGAGCATCTGCTGCTGGCCACTTTTGGAGACAGGATCCTGGCAACTCCTATGCTCTTTATGCAGCATCTTCCATCTGGGAGTCTCAAAGTGCTTGGCAGTGATCAGTGATCCATTCTCCTGTGCAGTAGATAGCATCTCCATTTTAAATGGGGAAACAGGCATAGAGAAGTAAATGGCAAACATTGCCAGTGTGTGAGACTAAAGCTGGGCTCCTCAGCTCACGTCCTCCAAGGTACTTAGGTGTCTAACCCCCATGGACAGCTAAACACCTTTGAGGATCTGAGCCTTACATTAGGTGTCAACTATGGATGTAGGAGCTGAACTTTAGGCACCAGGGTTGAAAATGTTGGCCTCAGTGTCTTGCTTCAAGGCCAGACAGCTAGTTTGTGGCAGAGCTAGGAACAGAACCAAGTTCCCCCGACTCCTGAGCCCCTGCTTTCTCCATCATACACAGCGTTCACATCAAGGACTTTGCTCAAGGACTTTGCTTTTTAAACTACAGATCTGAAGCTTGGGAGTGTGTTGGATCCAGGTTCTTGGTTTGCCCTGTTAAAGATGAGGGCCACTGGAATTGGAATCTGCATCTCGGAGTAGATATCCTAACACCCCCCAAAGTTCCAGGGCTGTTGGGTTTGGTGTATGGGTTTGTGCCCATCTCTAGTGTTAACAAAATCCTTTGTAGTGTTTTGAGGACCAAATGCATCTGAACCTCCT